GATAGATAGATAGATAGATAGATAGATAGATAGATAGATAGATAGATAAATAGATGGAGAAGCATGTAAGTACATGTATATATAGAGACTACTTTTCAATCCCTTTCAAAGAGAGCTCCTTTGGAAGAGATCCAGAACTGATCAAAAGGGTGTGTGTGTGTGTGTGTGTGTGTGTGTGTGTGTATACACACCATCCACACAGGAAAAACTGAATGGATTAATAATGCTTGCTATCCAGATTAGGATATGCATGAAGTTAGGTAAGACAGCCTATAGAACTCAATCATTTGTGTCTCTACCTTGGACAGACAGTATAAATGTATAATGAATTAGGCTGAGAATTCAATAGAAAGAGGAAGAAGGAGGATCCAATTCTCTTTGGGAAATTATAAGACTGTTCTAATGAGCTCAAACTTCTACTGGTGTTATTTTATGGAAGTGAGTCATGGAACACTACTCTCTCAAAATCATTAAGAATGAATATCCCTTAGAGGACAATGAAAAGGCACATGGCAGGTGTTAGCAGGCTGGAACATACAATAAATAAGAACTACAAAGAAAGACTAGAATTAAGATTATCATTAAAGTTAAATATAGTTAAAAAAAGAAGTTGGACTGGACACATGGTAATACCAAGAGGTAATCAGTAGATAGTTTTTATCTGATGTCAGAAGAAATACAGGAAGCCTTTTTTCCCCTCTTTCTTCCCCCATCCCCTGCCCCCAAAATGGAGGGAAATCCCTGTAATGAACTTATGGCAGAACATGTAGAGGATGGGCAAACACAGATGGGCTGCAATCTGTATCTTTGGAGGGAATGTCCACATAAATGTTATCACAAATCCACTGGACTATTTGAATATCCCTTCAAAGAGAACTTATTTTTAGGGGTGAATAGCATTGTATTAAAGTTGGGAGTGGGAGTAGAGAGAAGAGAGTGAGGAAGCGATGCCTAAGTAAATGCACATAAAGAGGTATATAAAATAAATTTCTTTTAGAAAAATAATTTTAATCAGATGAAATTAATTATTTTTGAAGAACTTGGAGAATCATATATAAATTTCATATATATCATATATCATAATTTCATATATATATATGATATATAAATATCATATATAAATTTCTACTATGACCAACTTATATTATTCCTCAATCTGGTCACATTTTAATTTTTCTGGAGAGTTGTTAGATATCAAATCTAGAAATCTGGCTATTGTAGACTTAGAAAATGATAAAACTTTGGAGCTAGAAAAAAATCTGAAATCATATGATCTAACCCCCTCCTTAAAAAAATAAAGTTTTATTTATGCCCTTTAGTTTTTCGTAAGTCATTTCTAGTTATACCACACACCTCTCCACACATCAAATGATCCTTCCCTCAGCCTATAATCAATAACTTACCCTCAAGCAGGGAAGTAAAATGAACTAAAACTGAATACAACTGCTAGAACATGTAACCTAATTTTCTACCTCTCCAACAAAAGAAGGAAGGTACATTTTCTCATCTCTACTCTAGGGCTAGTATTGTTCATTACAATTCCTGCGTTCACTTTTGTTTCATATTCATTCTGTTCACATTAAGGTAGTCATTGGGTATAGTGTTTTCCTAACTCTGCTTTACTCTGCACCAGTTCATACAAATACTCACCCATTTCTCTGAATTGTTCATGTTCATCATTCCTTTTTTATATCCATTTTTCCATTTGTTTTAATTTCTTATACATGGAAGTTATTCAGACTTATATGAATAAGAGCCATTCCCCAATAGACAGATGGCCAAACGATATGAACAAGAAACTCTCAAAGGAAGACATCCAAGTTGTCAACAACCAGATAAAAAAATGTTCCAAATAGAAAATAAGTAGAAAAATGAAAATTAAATTAGCAGCTCTGAGGTTTCACCCTGCACCCATCAGATTGGCAAAGATGACAAAAAGAATATGTTTATCATTTTTAATAATGCAATAATATTTTATTTCCTTCTTATCCCACAGTTTGTTTAGTCATTCCCCAATCAATGAGCATGTGTGAGACAGTGTGGTGCAGAGGTCTTGAATTCAAATATCAACTCTATCAGTCCTATGTGACTTTGGGCAAGTCATTTTTAACCTCTCTGGGCTTCAGTTTCCTCATCTGTAAAATGAGAGAATTGGACTAAATCAGGGGCTCTTACCCTTTTTGTGTCAGTTTGGCAAATTGTTGAACCCCTTCTCAGAATGTTGGGTTTTGTTTGTTTGTTTTTTGATTTTTGTTTTTGCCTACTTCTATAATTAAAGGAAATGGCAAATTACTTAAAATTTAGTGAAAATAAATACATAACTTTTGTCATCCAGATTCACAGAATCATTGAAATCTAGTCACAGACCCCCAGTTTAAGAACCCCTAAAGTCCTTTCCATTTCTAAATCTGTAAATGATCTTTTTGTTGTTATTGTTACAAAAATAATCGTTGCTTCCTGTCTTTGATATACTTAGGGTATACACCCAAGGAGATCTCTGTAAATCCCTCATTTTGCAGATGAAGAAAATAAATTCCGGATTAATAAAAATGACGTGCCCAAAGTCACTCAGCACATTGGGAGCAGAGCTGAGGTTGTATATAAGTCTCCTGACTCTCACATCCATAACACCCCTCTACCTTCCTAATTCCTATGAAATATCAGTAATATTTCAAGGTATGCATATTACATAAGAATTTTCTGAAAATGTGCTTTCTTGAAATGCCTTTTCAAACTGGTCATACTTCTGATTATTTTTTTTCTTTCCCCCTAATTTTTAATACTTGTAAGAAATGTGGAAGGATAGAATTTCCCCAGTTGTAAACAATTTGGATACATATATACAGGTTTTCATCCGAAGAACTATGGTAACTTGGATAGTATGACATTACACCAAAATAAAGATTTTACATTATTATAATCTCTCAGGATGTCAGGTCTGGGGTTTTTTTTTTTGTGGTTATAGTGGAGGAGGATAAGAAAAGTACCCTGTGTTTCAATGGTAGGGAGAAATATCTCTTCCTCTTGGAGGAAGTGAGGAGCCTTATTAAAACCTTCACATTGAAGTCATTCACAATTATATAATTTTATCCAAAAATAACTGGTCAATGGGCCCCAAATGACAATTAACAAACCAATGGTGACATCTTGTGGCTTTTTAGAAACATTGTAGACTTTTTGAAAGGGATAAAATGGTGTAATAATCTAAATCCTTCATCTAAAATGAATTAGATATCTAAATTTGATGCTATTTCTGCTTTTATTACTGTAAGCAAAATCTTTTTCTCCTCACTAGAATTAGATGGTGGAGAGAAAACTGTTTTAGGAAATATATGTGGTCATATTTGTTTGAGTACATGCATGCTTCCATTGTGAATATAATTAGCTAAAGGTTGTTTTGCTTTATTTAGCACTTTCTGTGATTTCATATCTTCAACTCTCAAATTCAATAAGCAATTCTTAAGTTCCTACTGTGTGCAATGCACATTGTTTCCCAGTAAATGTGTAATTCATTTTAAATGTTTTTTGCTAAGTGCAAATTGAAACTTCCTCTATCTCACACTTATCTGTGCTGTGTTACTTAGCTTGGGGTATTACAAATCCTTTTCATCAATAATTCTTGATTCAATAGTATGCCAAGGAAAGTGGGAGGCATATTAGAAGATGAATTCTGTATTATTCACAGATATTATGCTATTAAGTTTAGATTATGTAACCAGGTTTAAACCTCCTTATTTGCGTAAGATACTCTTCATTGATAGCTGGCTAGTTAACTTGGGGTTTACTAGCTAGATTTCTTTCTCAAAGACCAAGCCTTAAACCCAATTCACTCTTGATCTCATGGTTTGGACAACAATAGATCCCTGCCCAAGCACCACTTAACGGCTATTTTTTGGGCCCTCCAGGCTCAGAGTGAATGTAAGTAGTAACTGTTTCTCTTTTGGCCATCAACCCTGAGGGTCTTCCCCTCCCAGTTTGATTTTTTTTTTATTAAAGGGGCCATCCCTTGACTGATTTCTTAAAGACGTCTATTCACTGAATGGGCATTGCCTCACTCAAAGTGAGAACCTGAAAAGACCTTAGTTGAAAAGGGTCAAGGTCTCCCACTTCATCCTGGGCCATCTCCAATCATCCTGATCAATATCTGGCCACTGGACAGGGCTCTGGAGGAGAAAGTGAGGCTGGTGAGTTTGCACAAATCTCTCTCTCACTCAAATCAAAGTCAATTGCAAGTCATGTCATCATCTCCCTGATGTCATGGTCCTTTTTGAGAACAAAGGATAAAACACACAACCACAACTTTATCCTTGAGTGAGGGGCAGAGTTAATGAGAGTTTAGGAGAAAAGAGATCCTGGTCTTTCTTGCTAAATTCAGAGTTCAGCTAGGTTTACATGGCTAACATTCGGTAACTTTTCCTCAAAAATTGCAGTAGAAATAGTACTATGTTGGGAGTCAGGATGAGGGTTGGAATCCTGTCTTTACTCCATGCCACTTGTGTGACCTTGGACAAATCATTTAGTCTTTCTAAGTCATTTGGTCACATTGTAAGATGAAGAAATTGGACTACATGACCTTTTACACCCCTACCAGCTCTAAATGGATGACCCTATAATCCAATGACAACAGTCATTCCCTAAACAAAACAACAGAACCCCTAAACCTCAAATGTACAGCAATGGTCAGTGAATGGAATTATCTCCTTCTAGTGGTTAGTACTAGATCCAATTTAACCTCATGACATGATGAAAAATGCTATTTTTTAAAACTTTGGCTCATTTTGTGGAAATAATCTTTGCCAACTATTCCTACTTCTACTTGTTTAAAGTTAATGTTTGAGATCCCAAGGAAAACATAACATAACGGACCTCAACTATGAATGAGTATTCTTTGATTTTTTTTTTCTGGACCTTTAAGTAGGGTTTACTTATATAATAATCCCATTGGTGTATATTGGCATCAATTGTTATAATAGGTGTACCTACATATACAAGCTTCATGGGGATTCCATAGCATTTTGGAATGCTATAGGGGGCCTCAATGTCCTGACATAAACATGAAGAGATACACCCACCTCCTTTCTTTTTTTTATCTTTTGGAGGTGGGGAAGGTAATATGTATAAGTATAGATTGTTGCATATGCTATCAGATGAGGTCAATGTGTCACTTGTTTCACTCACCATATATGAGACCTGGAAATACCAGATAGTTCAGGAAGGAGTAGTCTCCAAGAAACCAAGTGTCTATGCAATTCTCCCTACCTACCCAATTCTCAAGTAGATGCTGCAAGTTCTTAGGACCGTGGAGGGGGAAGTGCCATTAGGATTTCATATTACCTAAATTAAACATATGTTGAAATGATTATGATGTTAATAACCATTGCTCCATCATATTGAAATGCATCTCTTTTTTTCAGCCCCAGTGGCTCCAGAAATCACTTCTGTTGAATATTTCAACAACTTGTTGTATATAAGTTGGATGTATGGGGATGACACAACTAACCTCTCCCATTCCAGAATGCTGCATTGGATGGTCGTTGCTGAAGGAAAGAAAAAGATAAAAAAGAGTGTATGTGTCCATAGAATCCTAAGACAAAAGTGATAGAACATATATTTGTGCAAATGCTTAAAAACAAACACTGCACCATGTATTTCAAATTCTGAATGGTCATCTACATTGAATGTTAACTTCTGGTTTGATTTTTTGTTTGCATTTCACATTTTCTTTTTTATTATATACTTAATAACTATGAACATTTCTAGAAATAGAGGACAGAAAAAGACGGTTGATATATGAAACTATGAATCTCTTATTACATGGAGCTTTTAAAATTCTTCTTCTAAGTATATATTATATGTAACACAACAATGCTAACATCTCATTTGTCTGTGCTCCCTTTGACCTTCCTTCTTCTCTCTTCTATGTGTTTTTAGTGTTTTGTTCATGTTTTTTCTTTCTTTTCTATCTTTGTTCACTAACTGTACATATTGACATAATGAGCATTTTCTTTTTCCTCTGTATCAGCTGTTACAGGAACACAGAGGTGCAGTGAAGTTAGACATTGTCATCCTGTCCTATCTCATCCTCTATCCTCATTAATGCACACTCTGCATGTGTATCGGTGAATACTGTGTTCTAACTCCCTGATATCTTTGGAAGGGATAGGGTAACAGAAAGAAGGAACTCAGTGTTGTTCGCTGGTCTCATCAGAGAAATAGGTTCTTGAGGTTCAAATGCCTAAATCCAGTGCATAATAACCAGACTAAGCAATATATTTGGGATCGTTGGATCAAAGAGTTAGAGCTGTGAGGGGCCCCACAAGCCCTCTAATCCACCCTTTTCATTTTAAAAATGAGGGAACAGATCCAAGGGGATTATGTGATTTGCCTGATATACTTATCAGTAGCAACTGGACATATGTGGTAGAAAGCTCTATGGTAATCCTTTCTGGTATAAGCAGGGGTCTGCTGGTAAATGTTTAACAACTACTTGTCTGGGGGAAAATACGCCCATGACATATTCTTAACATTTTCTCCATCTTTCTTGAGTCTAGATAATCAACAAAGTAATAAATCATGATTTGACTTGTAGTGTCTGCTGATTTCTGAGGTGTAAATGCTCACACTGAAAATTTAACAATTGCCTCTCTAGGCTGGTTTAAGCACATGCTCTGATATGCCGTGCACCTCATTGTGTGGCCCTGAACCTGCTCTATGCATGGAATTCACATTATTATCAAAATGAATTACACAGTCCAGCAACAGATACTATTGATGTGTTGTGCCCTAAGAAGAGGGAATTTTTTTCGCTTCAAATTTTATAAACCTTTTGGTTAATTCCACGTCTCCATTTACTATGCCAAGATGTGTGACTATAGGTGAGCCACTTAATCTCCCTGAGTCTCAGTTGCCTCATCTATACAACTGGAACAATTATTAGTGGAGGTTTTTTGGCTGGCCATCTCAGATACCAGGCCTGGCTTTTTCTTGTGAGGTTACATCAAAACTTTCATACATGCATCAAAACTTCCTCTTTTGGATGTCTCGAGGGTGAGATTACAAATGCAATCTGTTCAGTCTTTGAGCAGCAGCTAATGAAAGTTTTACTGTTAGAAAATTGACTAGAGCAATATATAGCACAAGACAGTAGTTGTGTTGAATTTTAATAAGAAACATACCAATATTCTAAAATTTTAAATAATTTACCTTCCTAATGTTTTTTTCTAAGTTTATAGCATTTATAATTTGTAAAGTTATTAAAGCTTAAAAGAGACTTTTGGGAAATGATGTATTTTGTGGCTTATTTGAGGTTTTATACTTGATTTTTGATTATTTTTGCAGGTAACACGCAATGTAATGACTGCAGTGCTAAACCTACCTCCAGGTGACATTTACAATCTCTCAGTAACTGCTTGTACTGAAAGAGGAAGCAACACTTCTCTGCCCCATGTTGTAAAGCTGGGTGAGCCTACTCTGTGTGTGTGTGTGTGTGTGTGTGTGTGTGTGTGTGTTATGTGGAAAGAGAGCTCATCTCTGAGTAAAGAAGATACAGTTCAAGATTTGGTTTTACTACTTACTAGTTGTGTGACATTGGACAAATCACTAACCAAGTCTATTTAACCAAGGCTATTTCACCATTTTATAATGGGCATATTTGTACTACCTACCACACAGGGATGTTGAGTACAAAATACTAAAGTACATGAAAGTGTTTTGCAACCATGACATGCTAATAAATGTAAATAGCTATTACCATGTGCATCTAAATATAGACCATCTACTAATACAGATCATCAGTTGATCAATAACAATTTATTAAGTGTCTGCTATATACTAGGCACCGTGCTAGGTACTTGAGATGTAGTCCCTGCTTTCAAGGACCTCACAGTCTAACAGAGGAGACAATATGCAAACAATATGTACAAACAATGTATATACAGGATAAATTGGAAATAATCTTCAGAAAGATGGCACTAGTATTAAAGGTGAAGAGAAAAGACTTAAAATATGTCTCTTACAATGGAAAACAATATGTAGAAAGGGATAAATTGAAAAGTATCTTTGATTGTAGTCTACATCCAATTTTTATACAAGCCAGATCTGTGTGAGAAAGTATACTTTATATATGGACCAATATTCTTATTTCTATTAGAGGATGACTTCGTGTAAAGATTTCAGACAGCAGAAAAACATGTGTTAAGTGCCTTGTTTCAACATATTAAATTTTCAGACTCCCAAAAAAGATGTGTCAAATGAAATTTGTAGTGTTATCTTCTTAGATTAGCGGCAGCGTGCTGGCCCTTGAGTCAGGAGGAGCTGAGTTCAAATCTGGCCTCAGATGCTTATTAGCTGTGTGACCCTGGGCAAATCACTTAACCCCGTTTGCCTCAGTTTCCTCATCTGTAAAATGAGCTGGAGAGGGAAATGGCAAACCAGTCCAGTATCTTTGCCAAGAAAACCCCAAGTAGGGTTATGAAGAGTTAGACATGACTAATCACTACACAACAATTTCTTAGATTATTGATCTAATGCTGCTGCTATTTACTCCAACCAAGATAACCCACATGCAAGATAGTATATATTTATTACAAAAACAAAAACAAAAAAAAGAGCTTCAAGATTTCTGGGGCTACTCAGTTTTTACAAAGACTCTGTTCCACCACTGTTGAGTCTACTGGTAATAAATGGTGTTCCATGGCAAGGAGATTAACAACATGAAAATACACTTCAGATTGTTATGCGGATGTTAATTTCTGAGTCTATGCTAGGACATCATTATGAACACAAACCACTGCATCTGTCAGAAACTTCACTTGATAGCATTAGGCTTGTACTTAGTTACAATATTCCAGATGGCATTAAAGAACCAATTGCTTCTTCTCAAGTTCAATGAACAAAAAACAAATTGACGAAGAAACTACTTTTTTCTTCCAACTGTGAGATTTATGAAGCCCCATGACTACTTGTATAATCATGTTTTGATCACTGACAAGAGATAGTACTCTTCTGTACAGATTATCCTTCATCTTTGATTGTATCCAGTGTGAGGGACTTACAGTGCTCACATTTACACACTCGTATATACATCTGGGAATGTTGATGCCTTAGTCATCAGGACATGATTTTTTTGGCCTCTGTAATTCTTGAAAGATCTGAAAACTCACATTGACAACATCATGGACCTTTTGCAGTATTGAAGTAAAAGGTAGATTGGTCCCAGGGTCTGAAGTGGAGGCCAATATTGCAGGCTGGAGTAAGTGGCCTTAAGCTGTGAAGGTCAAAGGATTGCAGGTGCAGGGAACCAAACAAATCATTCCATGGAACACAAGATGAATAAACTCTTTTTATTGGTCAAGATTTACTAGAAAAGGGTCCACTAGGTTAATGTATTTCCTATAGTAGATATAACCCTTTCATGCTGAAAGGACCCAAACTATCACCCCAGTCACTCCCTTTCTATTTTTCTAACTAGGAGATCTGAAAGTGCATTTGCATGTGTATAAAAAGTTCTAGCCAGGATGTCTAGGAAAGAGAAACCATAAGAAAGAGGTCACAAGTAGGGACTTCCAGGTCGGGAGAAACAGTGCTTAGAGGTAATAGTTACTAGTCAATTGTAAAACTATGCGGTAAAGAATAAGGAACATAAAGCTGGCATCAATAGAGGCAGCAGCTACTAAGTAAATACCCTGAAATTCCAGCACCAAGCTGAAGACACTAAGAGAAGAGTATGGATCAGAGCAATGGCACTGTGGTCTCCTAAGAGACAGGGATATTGGAAGAGCAAGGGAGCCATGACAAGTCACTAGATCCCTGTATAACTACCCAAGCCTAAGGAGGCCATAGAGTTCAGAGATACTAGAGCTGAATCAGGAACCATGCCATGGTCCTCTCACATTGCTGGGATCTTTCTAAGTATAGTACTGGGAATTTGTAGGCACTGTGACTGACCCTTTGGATGGGAAAATAAACTGGGCTCACCAGATGGGAGATTCTAACTAGTGTGTTGCTGAAGAAGCTCAGATGTAAGTGCCTTCTCTGTTTTTATTATATATTTTTGAAAGTCTTCCTAATTCCAAGGCCCACCCTCTTTTCATTCTATCAAGTTGCCCCTGACTGTGTTCTTTGTGCCATTAATAGATTCCATTCTATGTTTATTGTTTTGGAAGTGTAATGTCTACAAGAAGCTGGGGAACTCTTCATGAGACAGTGTCAGATTCTCACATTTTCAAGGGGAAAAAGAGCCATAGACATTATTGTTAGAGTGAAACCCACAAGACTGGACCAAATCTGTCAGTCAGAGAAGGATGTAAAGGCTTTGTTGACGTGTGAATTACATCAGTCTACCGGGAACCATAAACTTGGTGTATGAGTATGTGTATATGTATATACATACACACATACATATATATATATTCATACATATAATGATAATTGTAATTCAATATAATTAGTTTCCTTTGAATTTCCTACATGTTTTATGCATGTGAAAACATTATTCTAAGAAGGAATCACACACTTCCCCAGAATACCAAAGAGATCCTTGACGCAAATAAGGTTAAGAACCCTTGGTCTATACTTTTAATGATCAGAACCACTCTCATAACTTTCTTTGAAAAGACATTAGATTCCCATTAGATTCACTAAGCTAGTTCATTCATCTTGTCAACTAAAAGTAGTGAAAAAGTCTACTTTCCTAAATTGGTGAGGACAAGTCATTTTTTGAGAACAAAATTAAATTGACTCAACTTGAAGGTGACAAGTGTTACTGGACAACATATACTGAGATGAGTTGCCTCTGCGTCATTTTACCCAGCATTCCCAAGTATCAACTTTGAATTTCTGCTGCAGACCAGTTCTTCTAATGCAAGGAAGTGACAACTCCCTGTGCTTGTTTTACATGTTAGCACACAATCTATTATTAGATGATGCTTATAACTAGGTTCAACTGGAAACAGGAAGTTTTCTGAATAGAGAAATATGTGACATGGAGAAAGAAAGGCAAGACATTTTGCTCCTGACTTTCTAGATGTAAATTATTTTTAAAAATAATGGAAAAGCTTTATGGAAGACTGCTCCTTAGACTCCTTTTGTTTACTTTTTCCTCTTGATGGTCCAAAGACAAAATGGTACAACTGGTGAAGGGATAGGGAAATCAAAGGTTTTACTTTTCTTTGCCTACAGAACCAGCTCCTCCAAAATCACTTTTTGCAGTGAATAAGACTCAGACTTCAGTGACTCTGCTATGGGTGGAAGACGGAGTTGTTGACTTCTACAAAGTCTTTTGTCAGCAAGTTGGCTCTAACCAGGAAATAAAACTCCAGGTACTGTGCATTTCAATCTCTTCTCTGCACTTATTTTCATTACCTCAGGCATGTTACTTGAACAAGAAGACTCTCCTCTATATATTTTCAATCAACCAGAATTCAAAACCACATGTGATGATTGATCTTTTGATCTATATAATACAGATAAATAGAATATATGAAAATGTTTTTAAAATATGAGAACCAAAAGTTAGGTCTGGAGACTATTTTGCTCTTCATTCTTATCCCACGATCTCTTCTTCATGTTATGGGGAAGGAAGGAAGGGAATTGGAAGAGGAAAGGAGCATATCTATATGACAATATTGTGGAATAAAGACAAATTAAATGCTTTAAATGCCTCAGTCTGGAGAGAGGAGGCTGAGGATAGGATTAGTCTTTTAAAACAGGAAGGGTAGGGATAAGAGGCTATTTACCAATGCTATTTACCTACTCTCTTAGTATATCTACAAATCAGGGTTACTTCTTGAGGATTAAGGTGGCAAATTTGGGTCAAATAAAAGGATGTACTACTCTACACATCAATTAATAAACCAAAGTAGTGATTGAAAATGTGAGTCATGTTTTTTTAAGCTGTAGACAAATTTGTAGGCAATAGTTCCATACTGGAATATTCAGAAAAATTATCACAGAGTTAATGAATTTGGAGCTAAAAAGAACCTCAGAGATTCAATATGTTTCAAAATACATTTCTTTGAATTTGCTGTAAAAAAAAAATACAATTGCAGAATGATCTCTTAATGCCATTGTTAAAGACAGAATCCAGGGCTAAATGGATTATGACTGGACCAAGCATGTTAATTCTCATGTTGTTTTTTTTTTATGAAAAATGTCATTTCTGGGACCTTGTCTACTAGCCTCATGACAAGGTTGAACAAGAAAGGTCCTTGATTTTACATTTCATTAGTCTTTAGGGTCATCACTTTCAGGCCAAAAGCTAGGATAAAGACTCCTAAAATAGAAACTAACTCCACAGTCAAGAGAATCTTCCACACAAAGAGAAATTCAAGTGAGGCCTCAAATAGAGGTGTCAAACACTCCCCCTTTTGCCCCACAACAACCCTGAGTGCTGTCCGAGCCAGATTAAAATTAATCGGTAAACATTTAATAATAAATAAAACATAGAAAACATTACATCTTAAAACTAAGTCAGTATGGCCCAGGGGGAATCACTACAGATTAGTGGCCCCCATTTCTATGTGCTCTAGAGAAGTGAAGGAAATGAATCAACCATAGGCAATCTCTGTGAAAAATTTCAATGAGGAGTAAAGTTAGGCAATTTTCCTTGACAAGCTATCAGAACTCTCCCTCAATCAAACAGAACTCCTCTTTTTCTCCTTTTTTCTTCCTTTTCTTAGTCTTCTTCTTTTTTCTTCTTCCTTTTAACACTTCTCTCCTTAGTCTTTACCCTTGTCCTATCAACATTACCATGAGGTATTGTTTAGCCTCACTGATGGATTCTAGGGATAGAATGGTTACTACCTTTAGTGTAAATTATTCTGCAAAATCCCATTGAAATATTTATGTGAAGGAAAAGAAGTGGACTGTGGACTGGCATACAAAACAGGTTAAAGGGATATTCAGAGTTAGGATTTATTTAGTAGAATTTATAGTGGTAACCAGGACTATGGATACTCCAACCCCGGTAACATTTATATTTTAAAGACAGGGAGCCTATTCTTTCATTTTACTACCTCTTTTTTCCATGGGAAAGGTAAAGGAAAAGCAGAATGGTGAAGGACTTACTTTGTTTAGTGCACAGTCCTATGCATCTACATATTCAGTGTATTTATGAAGATGAATCCTTGGGATAGAGATATAATTTATTAGACATTTAGGAAGTTTATTTTGTTCCCTTCCTTACTTCCCCTTCTCCTCCCCATACTAAAATGTGCTCTTTTTGCTATATGCTGATTAACCAAATCTTATTTCTTACCTAACATTTCATATTCAAGTCTGCTCACCAAATAATCAGTGAGTTAATAAGCATTTATTAAGCACCTACTATGTGCCTGGCACTGGGCTAAGCACTAGAGACACAAAGAAAGGCAAATAACAGTCCCTGCTTTCAAGGAGTTTACAGTCAGGGGCAGACAACATGAAAATAACTGAGGAAACAAGAGATAGATAGATAGATAGATAGATAGATAGATAGATGGATAGATGGATGGATGGGTAGATAGAGAAATATAGATAAAGATGCACATACACACATACATATGTATTTAATAGAAAATAATTGACAAAGAGAAGGCCCTATGATTAATGGGAAAGGCTTCTCATAAAGGTGGGTTTTTAGCTGGGACTTGAAGGAGACCTGAAGAGCAAAGAGGCAGAGATGAGGAAGTTCCAGGAGTGGGAGACATTCAGGGAAAATCCAATGGATCATGTCCTTCACCCCATTGACCTTCCTTAGCACTTTGCTTTCAGAGAAAGGTGATGGAGAAGGGAGAATGACCCTGAAAATATTTCTGAGGGCTTTGACTTTCCTTGGCTTGGGTGACTGCAGATTTTTGCTTGATAGTAAAGAATGTTCTGATTCCCTGCTATTTCCAGGAATGCAGTTACTCAGTTCACCCAGTAACCAGAGTTATAGAGACATGTATTGATAGAAATTGATTCAGGCTGAGTGAAATGGATATGAAGGGTGCTAGTGCTTCCAGCATCACTGCTTTGGAAAGAACTTCTTGGGGCAGCTAGGTGGTGCAGTGAATAGAGCACTAGCCCTGAACTCAGGTAGGACCTGAGTTCAAATTCTGCCTCAGACCAAACACTTGACACTTACTAGCTGTGTGACGTGGGCAAGTCTCTTAACCCCAATTGCCTAAAAATAAAAAAAAAGAACTTCTTAAAGAAGACAATGAAGCACATTCTCTCTCTTTTTTTTTCCTCCTGCAACTCTAGGAGCCAGTTTCTGTTTTTTCTCATGTCGTGACGATCTCCAGCCTCCTGCCTGCCACTGCTTACAACTGTAGTGTAACCAGCTTCAGTCACAACAGTCCCAGTGTTCCTACATTCATAGCCATCTCCACAATGGGTAGATACATTTATAACATACGTTTTCTTTATAAACTATTTCTAGCTTTGTTTTTCCCTTGTCTTTCCAGTTGTATGCTATGTCTTTTTTCATACACTTGGATCTGAAGTGCTTTCCTTGATGTTCACAAACCTATAGTCCAAAATGTGTTTAGGTAAAATTTAGGTAAGCACTGTGGCTGCTTTGGGTTTAGAATTACCCAGCCATTATTAAACTACGGTAATATAACATTGTTAAAGCAAAACAGAGAAATTTTCTGAAATCATGAGTAGAATTGGATAGAAAAGGAATACCTAAACTAATACTTTTTTTCATTTTCATCTTCTTGGCTTATTTTTCTTTTCTTGTTTCTTAATTTCGTAGTTTTATTTTATATTCAGATTTTAAAATGTCTGAGTCAGCAAATCACTTCTAGCTTTCAAATCACTATTTATCTTATGCACAACCCAATGTAAAGATACCTGTCATTAAAACTTTTAAGATCATGATTATCACTTTTTTGTTGGTTTCATAATTACCATTTTTTATGTAATATCATTTCTATATTTATTTTCTCAGGGGTGTCAAATATGAAGCCTATGGGCCACATGTGGCCTACAACACTTCCAGTTCCCCTAAACCAGATTAAAATACAATTAACAAAATGAATTTTGAAAAAACAATAAAACAGATAAAATTATATTTTAAAACTAAATCAATATGATGTCAGCAGGGATCTTTGTGTATGTTTTAGTGGTCCCTGTTTCTATTTGAGTTAGATGCCACTGATCTATAAAAACATGGATTCATATAAAAAAGTAGATTCATATAATGTAATCTGTTGCGTATCTAATATATAACATTAGAAATACATATGAGGCAGCATAAAGTAGTGGATAGAAAATTGCTCTCAGAGCCAAAAAGACTTGGGTTCAAATCATACCTCTGATACATATTAGCTATATGACCTGAGGCAATTCATTTAATCTCTTGGTGGCCTAGACAACTCTTTAAGACTGTAATTCCATGGTAGGTGCTGATCTGTACTGGTAGAGGGGATTACCTCACCTGGAGTTCTCCAGACCAATGAATTCACAAGTTCAACTCAAAAATTATAACTGGGATATAGCAAGAGATAAACAATTAATACTGTATTTCATTGGTACCCATGTAATGATAAGAGATCTGAGGAAAGGACCCTTGCGTGGATGCTCCATAGTTATTGCAGGACACGGACAAGAGAACAACAGGATATGAATGAGTAGTATTCTGCATCATTGTAGGAATATTCCTATCAAGGACATCACAGTTTAATCAAAGCATTAAAGTATAACTATAAGAATATAAACTATAATGATGCATGTTATTTAATAGGTTTTATCTATTAAATAATATAAATTCATTCTTTTTATTAATAATTATAACATATCTATCATTTTAATAGATTTAAAAATTTATTTAATAATATAATTAGAAGAGAATTTTGTTTTTCCTCAGAGAGGGGAAATAGATAATCCTTTCATACCACCTCCTATTTGCTATATTTATGTAAGCTGTATATAAACTTAAAATCTACAACAATAAATAGCAAATTGTACAACAAGGATCTATTGCATGTTGTTATAAATGAAACATTTTCTTCTTTTTTCCCCTCACAAGATTATAAGGCAGCTAATGTATTATGTTGTTATCCCCATCCTACAGATAAGGATACTCAAACCCATGGATTTTAAATGATTTGACAAATGGCAAATCAGTAACAGTGCAGGAATTTTAATTTCAGTCTCCTAACTTCTATTCTGCTGCTTTCTGTCATGCTGCCTGACATCTCAACTAGGGCAAAGCTTTTCCCTTTCTTAGGATCCTCTAAGAGAGAAGTGGAATATAACCAACCCCTTTAGGGATCTTGTGTGCCAGCCAATTCAATGATCTCATTTTTAATGCAGGAGGAGGAGATGATTCTCTTGTGGTGGGTAATATCCTTCTGTACCCGAAGGCCTTTTGCAGGGACAAATGAACGAGGATCATTAAGTGCCTGCAGTAGTTTGGATATCAGATGGAACATTTAGAAATACATAGTCCTTGCATAAAGTATTTTGGCATTGACAGATACATTTAATCTCTTAAGCTGGGCATATGGACAACATCTAAGCCTACAGATCAACAGAATGAACTGTACTAGCAACCTGCTCATGGATTTTTCATATACTTTATTATTAATGAGAGCAGCTAGATGGCACAGTGGATAGAGTGCCATGTCTGAAGTCAGGAAGATTCATTTCCATGAGTTCAAATCCAGCCTCAGACACTTACTAATTTTGTGATCCTGGCAAGTCACTTAACTGAAAGGTTGAAATGACTCATCCAGTGAGTGTTGGAGATAGAACCAGAACCCAGGATTTCCTGGCCCTGAGGTTTGCTCTCTATTCACTATTCCTCTCTGAGGCTCAAAGAAGTATTTATGATAAGGAGGGAAAAAAGGAATTCTCTGAAACAAAAATGAAGACATACACTTTTGAGTTCATTGACTCATCAATAAATTTAGATTTTAAAAAGACAAGCCTGCCCTTGCAAAGGAGAAGAAATGCATTGAGTACTTTTAAAATGGTAAAGAAGATATAAACAAAGGACAGATAGCTGAGGAAGAATATAAAAATGTAGAACTATCTTGTAAAATAGAATTAGGAACATTAAAGCTTATGATGAACTGGGGCTAACAATGAATGTGATAAAGATAATGAAAAAATGGTGTTTTCTTAAAGCTACATTAGGAAATAAAAGAGAAAGAAGCTAGAAGAAACAATGATAGTTGACAATAGAAGTAATGATTAGGTGTAACAAGGTCAAAAAGAATTACATTCGAAGATATTAAAAGAATTGGCAGAAGTGACTGCTGACCCACTGGTAGTGAAGTTAGAAAACTCACGAAGAGTAGAAAAGGTACTATAAGACTCGAGATGTGTAAATGTTTTCCCAATCCTCAAAAAAGGGAAGAAAGTGAGGTTTGTAAACTATAGGTTCTGTAGACTTTGATCCATTACAAAAATCTAGGCATTATTATAAAGTTGGTGAGTGAACATCTAGAAAATGAAAAAAATGATTAAGAATTCAACATGATTTCATCAAAGATTGGTCATGACCTCATATCCTTTTTTAAATGAAATTACCAGACTGAAAGATCAGAGTAATGTTATAGATATAGTTTACTTTGATTTCAGCAAAGCATTTGACAACATTTCTCATGCCATTCTTGTAGACGTGTGGAAAGATATGGGCTAAACAGAAGGGTAGTGGACTCAGAACCGATTCAAGACAAAAATAGTCATTAATGGGTTAATGTCAACTTAGACATTATTAGGTCTCTACCTACCAACAAATTAGGTCTCTAATGAAGTGCTCTAGTTTCTTTTCTGGCCCTTTACTGTTTTACATCAAAAAAAATTAGTAACAGATAAAAGCTTTGTTGGAATTTGTACTAATTTTACCCATGATACAAAGCTGGGAGGGATAGCTAATACACTGACAAAATGCATTTGACAAAAATAGTATCAAAAATGATCCTGACAAGATAGAACACTGGGACAAATATGTTAAAATGAAATTTAATAGTATCAAATATAAAGTCTTATAGTAGGGGCATTTTTTTTAACAAGTAACAGTAAGTACAAGCTTGAGGAGGTATTTGAATACCTCCAGCAATATATGTGAAAAAGATCTGAGTGCCTTAATAGACTGCAAATCCAAAAAGAGTCAACAGTACAATATGGTAACCAAAAAAAGCCAATGATCTTTGAGGCTAAATTAAGAAAGACATAGTATCCTTGTTTATGGAGATGATAGTTCCTTTGTATTTTGCCATGGTCAAACCACGTTTGGAGGACTATGTTCAGTTCTGGGCATCATATTTTCAGAAAACGATTTGCAACCTCAAAAGTCCCAAGAGTCCCAGGGAAAGCAATCAGAAAGATGGAAGGCTTTGTTCATGCCATATGAAGATCTATGAAGGAACTAAAGATGTTTGTGTTGGAGAAAAAAAGATTCCTTCAACTATTTGAAGGGCAATCAGACTTGGTTGCTTGGTTCTTGGAAGTTGCACAAGGCCCAAAATTAAGGGAAAAAAACTGCAATAGTTAGAACTATTCCAAAATAGTTAGCTCAGGAGACAGAGGATTAGGTCTCTAAATTAAGGCTGGAAAGCCACTTGTTACAGAGGGATTATTTAGTCAGATATAGGTTAGATTGGTTGGCCTCTGAGGTTCTTTCCAATGCCAATATTTTGTGACTTCTTGGTTGTCCACAGATATAATGACACCCACACTTTTCAAATCCCAAGTGATCTTAGTCATGAAAGAAAAAAAATTTTAAAAAAACAGCTTTGGACCTTTGAAAAAGAAACATTAATCAATTTTTCCAGAATAATATTTATCAGCCAGGACTGATGAAATTTACTCTATGATACCATACCCTAGAAAAATTCATTGTTTGCTTAGTTGAGCCGCTTTATTCTTGAGGATAGTTAATAATAAAATCAGATTAAAAAAACAACAAAACTGTTAGTTTCTATGTGCTGAAGCCAGTGACTAACATATTCAACTTTTCTTTGTAGTTACTGAGATGAATCCCAATGTGGTAGTGATCTCAGTGCTGGCCATCCTGAGCATACTCCTGATTGGGCTGCTTCTTGTTACACTCATCATTCTCAGGAAAAAGCATCTCCAGATGGCCAGGTGAGTCCCATTTCCCACTAAGCAAAAATAGCCACTTTCTTAGTTTATTAGTTTAGTTTCATTTTTTGGTTTAATTTTCCTAGAGTATTCCTTCATAAATCATACTGCATTGGAAGTGAGAGCTGGGCAAACATTCCAACTCAAAAAATTTCAGTCATTTAACTTCTGCACTTCACAGAAACAGAATTTCTTTTCCTCAAACTGTTATTCCACTGATATTATTGCTAAGACTTACCATCATTGTAGTATTTTATTGTGTTAATGACTGATTCTATTTATGTGTTCTTAGTCTAATGAACTGAGGAGTAATGGAAGAAGAGCAATGGATAGTTTAGGTCCTGATAAATGTTGTGAAGATCAGTGCAAACTTTACAGGATAAGTAGAATTGTTCTAAAATAAAAATTTGTGAAGTTTTCTAATTGATGTCATATAATCTTTCCAATGTGAGGATCAACTTTTTAGAGTCAACATTATAGATGATATATAGGAAGGTAGAGTTTTATTATTTGATTTCAGATTGGCCATCTTTTCATCAATTAATCTTCCTGAGCCAGACAAGAATACTTCTCCAGTACCCCGTCTCTCCCCCTACATCCACCTCCAGCCCTGGAGTCTGTCTGCCTGCTGGCCACTGGCAGAGGAACTTTGTCCTGTTCATCAGAACTGTCAGAAATATAACCATAACAAAGAATGAGAATTTATAGAAATGCTCTTTGAACCTATAATTTTGAAAGCAGAAACCTGGCATTTTGGAAGTCCTGGCGATAGTCTGCATACCTAGCCACATCATCCAACAGGGTGGTACCATAATTCCTTTTCTTTAGGAGTCATCATCCTGGGGACTTTGGGGGAAGCTGAGTTAGAATGTAGGGCAGATAACCCATAGAATAAATAACAACTGATATTTATATAGTAAAATTTGCAAAGCATTTTACATTCATCTCAGGAAAACCTGACGATTTGATCTGATAGCTAAGTTATTATTCACTCAACCAACAAGCAAGAATTTACTTTGTGTAAGTTCCAGCTCTATTCTTGAGACTGTAATTGATTTTAAAAAAGAAGAAAATTCTAGCAATTTATTTCACCTTCTGAAAATTTTATTGTTAAAGGTTAGAGACAGAATATAAAAAGTAGTAGGCAAATTATTTATCACTACCTATATGAGAATAGTAGAAAAAAGAACACATACCTTTTAAATGCATTTTTTATTTGTGATACTAAATATGGCCATGAATCAGTAGAGGTGGCTGTGCTCTCCTCACCTCTCCTTCCCAACTGAAAATGGACAGAATCCTCACAGAAAATGCCTACTGGGCCAATACAGTGGTAGGACTCTCTGTCCAGTTCCCAGTCTTCTTCCTTTCCACCACCCTTGTCTAACTTCAAGGGGTCAAGGAAGGGCCTGCTTCTTTTAATGAACTCTACCAACAGTTATAATAATGGAAGTTTAGACTCTCCAGTCATAGGGAAGTGAATTTCCTTTATAAAATTCTGCTTTTGAGAGCTTAAAAATGTTGTAATAAAAATATCAGATAAATGGTTCATAAGCATGTCCCTAGTCAGAGAGATTTTCTTATACTAGAAAGGAATTGGGATGTCTCAAGTAGAAGCTTTCTTCCTAGTGAATTTCCTGAACTACCAGAACTTCTCACCACACCCTTGTGCCACAAATAAACCCAAAAAAGTACATATCCCAGTTGACCTCAGTTGTTTGTGAGAAGTAAAACTAGGTCAATTAAAAAACAAGAAACAACTTAAGCAGAGTAAAGGAACATGCTTAGTAATAGGGGCTGTTTGCACCTAGCTAAAGAGAGAAAGGGAGAAGTAGACTAGTCTAATTAAAAATATTCCCTGCAAGTCATCTCTAAGTTCCTGAAACTTTAGCCATCTGGGTGAGTTGCCAAGATTGATCAGAGTAGTCTGTACTCATTGTTGTCCCTTCTTGTGGGCCTGGGAAGGAAAACACCATCTCCACCACTACTCTTAGTGTGTCCCTGTTAAATTACTCTTAGCCTGTCACTCCCCAAAGCTCTGTGCCTACTCTGGCTTCTTGTATTTCATGAAGTCATTCCCCAGCCCTCAATCCCAGATGATGTTTTCTCTAATTTCCCCCTGCCCCAGAGTGGGTAGGAAAGGGATCCTGCATATTACATTTCCCAGATTTTTGGGGGAAATTCACAATTGCCTTTGAGATTTATGGTACCAGCCCTACTATGGGGTGTTATCATGATTCTCTGGATTGTACACTTCCAGAATTATTTTTGAACACTTTTTCTATTTTGTGGCTTTCTTTTATAACACAGCTTGGTGAATAGGACTTTTTTCATTATAGAGTAGATTGCTATTGTAATAGAAAAGCAGAGAGTAGTTTGCTACTTTAGATAACCTCAGCTTGGGTATTGAGTACATTTGGAGCACCAGAGGGTGAGAAAGAGTTTGAAGAATGGTCTCTGTCTGAAGGAAATGAAGAAAATAGACACCACAAAAGACTGAGGGAAAAAAAAAAACTATTGGTGTCTTTTTAACTAAAACTGTGGTATCATAAAATGCTTGTACAATTTAAGATTTAAGTCATTAGAGTTACTTTCTGTTGGCTTTGTATGTATCATGTGAAGGTGTAAATGATTTAAGTTTTCACTCAAATGGGGAATCCTTTTGATTTTCAGGTTTTGTGATTTCAGGTTTCTTTGTATCAGTGATGTACTGCTCACCAGAGTGTACTCTCAAGAGCTTTTTTGTGATCCAGTTTTACATTACTCAAGTGACCCATCATTTTCCTTAAGAAATTCCTGTACAATCTAGTACATGTGTTAGTTCAGATGCATCTGTTTGGTTACAGTTCAGTGGCCCAGCAGTCAATCCCCTCCTCCCTCTTTCATTTTAGATTTTCCATGTATTTGACAGCACTGGTCTTATTTCATTCAACCAGCTGTTAGTCGGTACAATAAATCTTACAAATACAAAACAGGAAACAGGCTAGATCATAACACAATGGAAAATCTTTTGGGGGGGAATTTAACAGGTTGCAAATGCAATAGTACAAAATAACAATTTAGCATACATATAAAATCAGTAAAATATAAGCCACAAAAAGAACTATTGGGAGGACCTCACCATCTTCTATTTGGATGTCCATTGCAAAGTGTGCTTTAAGAAGAAATTGTCTAAAGATGGTAAGGTTGTTCATTTGTTCCTATATACAGACAACATTGTGCTTATTACCATAATTCTGGAGTACTGTGCAGATGCCTAATTTAGATCCATAATCACTCAGAAGTGGGAACACTTCCCTTTTCATGTCTTTCGTACAGGCTTAACTGTACACCCAGGAAAAACCAAATGGTTGAAGAATGCCTGTTATTGTTCAGGCTGCAGTTGAACAGACAACCCATATTGCTCATCCATTAGTACATATATCTTGGTCAGACATTTGACATGGGCTCAGAATTGAGCTGAAAGGAGCATGTGTAGACTCCCTTGAGGATATTATTCATTGATTTTAAATGATCCTCAGCTTTCTCCTGAAACAAAACCCCAAGTTTTTAGCAACAATGTTCTCGTAGTGATGTTCTGTGAATGTGCTTCATGGAATACTGCAGTCTCCAAAAGCTTAAAGTTGAGAATCACCCTGGCATGCATTCCATCCTCATTTTTAGATTTCAGAACCTTTATCTTTCTTCCAGTTACACCCTTCTTCTTTTGTGCCTTTCCTCACACTCCTCACTGAAAATAATTTTTTTCTTCCCTAAATATTCCATAAGAACTTTGATTGGCTCTCTTTTCTTTAACAACAAAAACAATAATATGTACACAGCTCTTTGAAGTTTGCAAAAACACTTTGCATATGTTATCTCTTTTCAGACTTAAAACAACTCTATAAAGTCAGTGTCACAAGTATTATCTTAGTTTTACAAAAACGGAGGGACTTGTTCAAAGTCACACAGCTGGTAGATGCTAAACTGGATTTGAACTCAGGTCTTCCTGAGTCCAGGCCCAGCGCTCTATGCACTGTTCTACCTAAAGGTTAAACTGAAAAGCATCCAGAGGAGTGTGACTAGGATGAAGAAGGGCCTGGAAATTAGGCCACATGAAGATTAACTAAGGAATTAGGGATGTTTGGAGAAGAGAAGACACATCTCCATGATAATCGTTTTAGGTATTTGAAGGACTACCAAATGGAAGAAGGATTAGGTTTGTTTTTCTTGACTCCAAAAAGTCAAGAGAAATGAAAGGAAGTCATTAAAAAAAGGGGCAATTAAGCTTGATATAAGGAGAAACATTCTAACATCTGAAACTGCTCTGTTGCAATGTGTTCCCTGTTCAAGCAAAGAAAGGCTTGAGTGGCCACTTGGTAGGGATGCTCCAGAAGGGATTCTCATTGGAGTTTGACTTGGACTTAGTGTCCCCCATGTTCCCTTTCCACTCTGAGCTTTTGTAACTAGGTGCTCTCCAAGGTAGAACTCCAGCTAGAAGGCCTATGACCCCGTGAGTCAAGAAGCGAAGGACTCAAGGCCCAACGAAGGAAGTTTGTTTATATTCCTTTGAATCTCCGTGGCAGATCAAATGCTCCAGAGTTTACAGGGGGACTCAGCATAGTCCTTCTCATGGAAATTTTGAAGAATGTTTACTGCAGTTAGTTTTAAGGATTTTATTTTTCAGGATCATATGAAAACCATGTAGAAGGAACTCAAAACAGATGGCTATGATTCTATCCAATTTGATTTTGTTATTCTGTGAAATGGTTGATGTTTTGCTTTTCCATTACAACTTACATTAGCTGATTTTTGTTGTTTCTAGCTCCCCACCTCCAATGTTGTTCAAATAAAGAATCTGTCTCAGAGCAGTATTGTGCCAAGCACTGGCAAGCAGTAACCTTGACTATTTGGTTCTTTTCAAACAGAGAATGTGGAGCTGGAACGTTTGTCAACTTCGCTTCCTTAGAAAGAGATGGAAAGCTTCCCTACAACTGGTGAGTATTAATTTGGAACCCCACTTTAGGAAAGTGTTCCAAGAGCCCCATTTCACTTTGAAGCATTGTACTTGATTTTGATTATAAAATTGCAGATGATAATGACCTCTTATTATTGCTATGACTTCCTAATTGAAATTATTTCAATTCAGTTTCACAAATATAAGATGGAAGCCCAGAGGCTACCTAGTCCAAGTTCTTTTACAGATAAGGAAACTGAGGCCCAGGAAGGATAAGTGGCATGCCCAAGGTTATTAGAAGTAGGACTCGAGGTGAGGTCCTCTGACTCTTTATCACTGTATCAGGCACTCTGATACATGTTATGACACATACAAATCTGCATTAGTTAGAATCCCTACCTATGAGAAACACACTAAGTAGTAGCAGCTTTACGATGATATATATGTAGACATTTAGCATCAAACCACCAAATGAATAAAATAGTCACACAAATAACAGATCACCTAGCTGCCACGTGGGTTTAAATAAAGGCCCTAGACAAATGATGAGCAAATGAGTGGAGGTTTGAGGTGCTTTATTCTCAAAGAAGGTTGAGAAGGAAGGAATGTAAACTCCAATCCCAGGTAGCTGTGCATGGCACAGCAATACTTCTATTCAAAGCCCAGCTTTCACTGCCTTCTGAGTATGAGCTGCTACTCTTGTTACAATATTAAATATAAGTTTAGTACCCAGGGTCCATAGTTCTATCCTTGGCAAATTGTCCAGGCAACACACTGGACCAGGAGTCAAGAAGACCTGAGTTCAAATCTGGCCTCAGACACTTACTAACTGTGTGACCATAGGCAAATCACTTAACGTCTGTCTGCCTCAGTTTCTTCATCTGTAAAATAGGAATCATAATAACATCTACCTCCCAGAGTTAAGATAAAAAAAGAAGATAAAAGGAGATATTTGTAAAAAGCAGTTTGCAAACCCTAAAGCATGACATAAATGCTAGTTTATTATTATTATTATTATTATTATTATTATTATTAATTTATCATTATTGTATCCAAACAAGAAAATTCCCATGGTAACTTATGGACTTTTTTCTTTTTGTTGTCTGGGTGCCCCCAACCTCTAATATAGGCACATCTGAAGGAATAGAAAAAGCCTCAGACACATTTCAAAGGATGTAGTTTTCATGTTCCTTGTTACACGAAGTCATAATCTCCAAACCTTTGTTGTGCTCTCTATCCAAGACCTCAGGTGGCTCGCTAAACAGACCAACATACAGAGCTTCAGCAGGGAAAAGACACAGCAAACTCTCAGGGAAAATCATTAAGGTGCCCCAGAATCTCAGGGCTGCACTGCTATTCCACAGAGAAAAACCCTGGCTTTCTCTTTCCCTCTTCTCTTTCTCTCTCCCTTCTTTTAGGATACTCAGTCCTTGCAACCAGATTACAGGGGCCAGTTTAGGAAAAACAGCTAAGAAGTTCTGATTTTCCTGGCTTTTGTGCTCTGCCAGCAAGAAGCCTCAGAGTGGGAGAGAATCTAGGGTTCTCATCCCTTGGCAACAACTCCCACCTTGCTGTCTCTACAAATCAACTGCTTTGTCTCTCTGATTGTTTTAATTGTATCATCCTTCCCTGAAAGAGGAAAGATGATTTTATCTATTCTCTTTTCTGTTGGGGGATGACAGCTAGTACCAGTAAAGGCGTTTCATTGCATACTACACTGGACCACAGCTGGTCCATTGCCTTCTCTTAGTTAGTCCCTGTATATCAGAAAAGACCTTTGTGGTTCACCTCAACACAATATGTATGGCGCTCTTTGTCCTCGATTTTAATCAATCTTCTTTCCTGTACCTCAGATGAAAGGCTAGTCAGTCATTCCAACCGTCCCTACTCTTGCCTTTACACTGAACTCCTTTAGGGTTCCACCTTTATACAACTCTTTTATGATTCTGTCTCAAGGGGTGAACTGATAGTTCTTGAACCTTCTTCTCTATGAAGGCTTCTCTTTCTACAATAGAGGCGTGAATCTGAAAGTCATATTCCCCAAAAGCATCTCTTTACCCATGTCAGAAGAGTCTCTTGGCCTGCCATATTCGTGGCAAGGAAGATGGTATTCAATTTCTTCTGCCAACTTTCTTGATTCAAGTAAAACTACAGCTTCTGTGTTGGGGCCTTGGAAGGGGTGGAAGATTTATCTCTAATCCAAGATAATTGAAGGCCAATCCAGACAGAGATTTTACTGTCGGAGAAACTGAAAGGTGAACACTATTCCTGAGAGATTATTTGAGTTCTCCTATCTATCAGACCACACCAACCCTTCTCCCCAAGGACCTGTCTCATGTATGCAGTGATATTTTGCTAAATCTTCCTCCAGAGTGGCCTGCCTTCCACTGTCCACTCATGAAGCTTCTGGTCATACAATTTCCTTGAATTCATCTCTTCTTCCATGGTTTCAGACAAAATTTCTTTTTGGGTATCACAAGTAGATGTGCCTTAATCTATATATCTGTGAATCCCTTCCCTATTGTCTCTAGGGAAAAAAAAACCATAAAATCTTCTGTTTGACTTTTAAAACCTTTTATGGCTTTGCTCTTCCTATGTTTAAAGTTATTTTATACTTCCTTCCACATACTTTATATTGCAGTGATACTGGCCTATTTGCTGCTCCTTACACAACAACATATTTCCCACCTGTATCTATTCACTGGCTGTTCTCCATGCTTGGAATGTTCTCCCTTCCCACATCTGCTTCATAGTTCCTTGACTTCCTTCAAGACTCAGGTGTAATTCCACCTTCTTTATGAGCTCTTTCATGGTCTTATCCCACCTTTCCCCCACTTCCATACTGCCCCACCAGATGCCAATATCTCCATCTCTGAGATTAATTTTTGTTTACTTTATTTATACGTTGTCTGCATCTAGTTATTTACATATTGTTTCCCCCAATAGGATGTAAGTTCCCTGAAGGCAGCGACTATCTTTGCCTTTCTTTTTATCTCCAACGTTTTAGTACAATGCCTGGCACATAGTACGTGCTTAATAAATCCTTGCTGATTGATTAAAACTCATTTTTTTCTTAAATTCACTGCTTCTCTTATACTCTTATTTGATCAATCCAACAACTTTCTGAGGTAGATGTAGTTATTATCCCCACTTTATAGATAAGGAAATGGAAGCTGAAAGATGCAAGTGATTTGCCCACCCACAGTCAGATGGTTAATAAGTGTTTGAAGATTTGAACTCAGGACTTCATGACTCCATCTCTGAAACCCCTGTATGGGGTGAATTTAGAAACCTTGTTCTGAAGTTTTGGTTATCCTTCCATTTACAGGCAATTTTAGAAAAAAAAATTGTGCCATCATTAGGGCTCTGAGCAGCAGCTACTACCTTCCTACTTCTTCCTGCCACCCCCCCCCCCATTTCCCATTGTCTTGTTTTTCTCATTTTGGTAAGGTGGGAAAGGGAGCTGATTTCCTACCTAAGGAAACTATGATAAGAGTTTCAATGGATTGAAACTGCATTAGAACAAGTATATTAAAACAAGTCTTACTCTGATGATGAAGATGCACAGAGGCCAAGCTAATTGACTAAGTTGGCAGAACTGCTAATTTATTACAAAATATTAAACAAATTTCACTTATTTGATATCATTCTGAGTATTTAAGCAATTAGTGATGCAAAATATATATTTAAAAATTGGCCCTAAGCTCAGATAGGTCAGAATCCTATACTAAATAGTTAAATTAATTGAGAATTTATTGTATTAAATATAAGTTTTTCTTAAAATAAAAAGGATCTTTTTTTTTTACAAAAAAGTTAATACAGAAACCACTTACTCTTCTGAGTAAGACAATGAGTTGCACTGAGTTGCCATATGTCCTTATCAAATTTCGCTGTCATGTTTGATTATTCTACTGTGCTGAAATGAAAGACTGAAAATCCTCCTAAGCAGTCACAAGTGAAAGTGTAGCCAAACACTTGATCTATTCACACAAATCTCCTAGTAACATAATAAACAACTATTTGAGGGGACACCCAGCTTAAAAACCTACTAGTATCAGTATACAGGCTTTCACATTCCTCCCTCCCCACAATAAAAATTTCAAAACCATCAAGGTAAAAATGATGTTAAATTTACTTTCCTGAAAGGACCTTCTCCCATTTAATAAGTTTTTACAAGGATGTCATGTTATGTAATGTCAATTAGCCAAACTATCAGGTTCTAGCCAAATTATTCTGCCTTCTGCATGTGTTTTTTTTTTCATTTTCTTAAATGAACCTCATAAATTGTGTTCTTCAGACCTGTGTATGGACTAAACGCGGTCTACGTATGTTACAGAATATGTTACAAGCAACATAGAATTTACCCTCCCACCCCTCAGCTCCCAAGACCTTTCTATACAACTCAGTTCTATGGTTCTGCAAGGGTAGGAGGATTAAAGAAAATAATCACGGGTCTATTATATAATTATAATAATAATTAAGTGACCAGGTAGCTTTTTTACTAAGAAGTGATAATCATCTCAGTGAAGATTTGTTATAACAAATCCTGCCAAGTGAATGCACTTTTGTTTTTCTGTCCCTAGCACCCAACTCAATGCCTTATACATAGAAGGTGATAAATATGATTATTGAATTGAACTTGAATTTGAATTTTGAAAGGCAGCATGGTATGATTTAAAAAGCATTGAACTAGGAGACAGATTCAACCTCACAGCTTTATGACCATGTACTAGCCTCTTAACATCTTTGGGCTTCAGTTTCCCCATTTGCAAAATAGGAGCAATAGTACTTGCTCCTCACTGGATCGTAATAGAGTCAGCACTTTCTGTAACATTCAAGTGCTACATAAATGTGAATTATTTTTACTGAGACTTTAAAGTGTCAATATTTGTTTCCCAATGTACTGCTTAGAATAGAAATAACCATAATACCATTTTTTAGCTGATGCTAAAAAAATGTTTTTATTAGTAATTTTGGAATTTGAATTTGGACTCCAACCAAGCATTTAGAATCAACTTTTAACTTAGAACAATAAAAAGGAAGTCGTTTTACTTCTACACTGCTGGATATCACACATTAGGTGGGAACATCTTCATCCGAGTATACACAAACAGATTTCAATGGGTCTGTGAACTCGAGTAGGAAAAAAAATTAGACTAAAGATGAACTGCCAGTCAGGAAGCACTGATACCTGATACCATATCATACTTGATGTTGAGACTAAATAAAAGATTCATTTAAACCCAGACTTCTGCATGAATCATTTTACTCATTGATTTCAAACTACTTGTAATTTCAGAAAGAAGAATTTAAAACCAAACTCCTTCCACTTAGTTGGACTTGAAATAGTGTAGTTTTATAGAAATGTGACCTAAAACATTTTCTTTACTAGGAAAGACACATTCATGCAAAGCAAAGGACATTTTATCAAACAGCTTGGCAAAAATAACTGATACGAAGATTCCCTCTAATACTCAGAGGAGTACATTTCTTCATAGGTTATCACAGTGGGTGGGGGGGATGGCATACAGAGATAACTCTTGCATACAGGCCTGAAGGAGAATGTATAATCACACACACAAGATGGAACACTCAAAGGAAAATACATGTTCCCAGGGCATATGCATTGCTGGGGAAACTCATGCTTCTGACTTGCAGAGCCACGGATGACCTCTGATGATGTCATCATGACACTCTCACCTGATCATTGTGAATTCACTGGTACAGAGGTGTGCTGGTAAATCAGAATCAATAAACATTTATTAAGTGCTGTGTGCTAGGCACTGTGCTAAGTTCTGGGGATGCAAAGAAAGGCATAAGACAATCCCTGCCCTCAAGAAGCTTACAATCTAACGAAAGAGATCACACACACACACACACACACACACACACACACACACACACAGAAGTTGTAAAGATGGAGTGTGTACCCAGCATGGGGCAGGATGAAGTCCTGCAACTGGGTTGAGAAATGATCTGAGGATATATGAGTTACCGAGTTGATTTCATCTTGTAGACTGACAAGTTTCTGAAGATCGTGAATGTTTTAATGACTGGCTATCTGAAAAAAAAAAGTATGCATGACACAGTGTTAAGCTCAATTTGCATTATTAACATTTTCTCCATCACTTTCTTAAGTATAGAGTCTAGACTTAACAAGGCAATGGATCAAGCCTTGATTTGTAGTGTTTGCTGATTCCCAAGGTGTAAATGCTCACACTGAAAACTTAACAATCTGAGCCAGTTGAAGCTGGCATGCCCTTGATATACCTCATTCTCTCTGCTGTTCCCTGCTGGATGTCACAGTGTCTTTGCTGCTCTCTACTGCATGTCGCATCATGTCTCTGCCGGACATCTCTAGTGTTCCATAACTGCAGTGTTCACTGTGCTGCTCTCTGCTACCATCTGCTGGTCTTCAGCTACACCGTCTCTTCAATGTCATCTGCTCCTCTGCCACCATCTTCTGGGGTGCAGTTGCCAGGAAGCCTCTTCCCTGACAAGGAAGGGGCAAGATCTTTTTTAGCTCATGTAGCCTAAGGCCATGACAGCTGCACCAATCCAAGCAGCTGGAAAAAACCAGCAGAAATCCTAGGCCAAGATTGCTTATCCTTCCGACTTAGAAAACTCCCTTTAATCACTGCCAAATCCCTGTAAATCCGTGTTCCTAAAAAAAAAAAAAAAAACATTTCAGGGACCTTACCCCCAAAATCACAAAGAAGCAATGTGGGTACAGAGCATTTAAGTTCCCTTTAGTTCCCTGGATGACATGCAAATAAACCTCAGAGTAAGGATAAAGGAGCTAGGTGAAACTGGAAGAGCTCTCAGTCTCTGCCTTTACTGTGCATCCCTCTTAGCAGCATAATCTCTGATCTTTGTTCAGAGTGGCTGCCAAAGAGGCAACCTGAGTGGTCTGCCTATATCTTAAAATAAGATTGTGCATTCCATTATTCAATCATTTATTTAACAAACATTTACTAAACAAAGTGTACTATACTTTCCCGGGTGAAGGATAAAATTTAGCTAAGACAGTTCCTGCCAACACAGAAGTTCATTCTTATATCAGTATTTTTAGAGGGACAATTTTCAATGCCTAATGAAAAATATGAGCATTATTTCACTAAACGTAACATGTAACCACCATGCAAGAAGCTAATTATCACAAACTAAGTCTACCTAATGACCATAAGATCATGCATAGATTATTTACCAGAGTTAACATATAAACCTTTATATCTGAAATTCCGTAGGATACTTAATTTTAATAATACAATTATCTGCCATTTGAATATGTCTATTAGCTAACTGATCTCTGTTTTATGTTTACATTACTAACATCTTGCTTTTTCATCTCCACATCTATTATCTATTAATGCTCACAGGCGTAGGAGTATATTTGCTTTCCTAACTCTGCTACCCTCATGTCTTTGGACTGATTATCTTTTGGCATTTTATATTAACCCCTGGTAAGTGATGTTTTTACTGTTTTCCTTATGCAATGTGTGAATAATGTTAGCTTCTTAATAAATAAAAGGGGTTATAAAATTTATTTAACTTGTTGAAAGTATCTAAAATGCTTTTTCATGGACTAAAATTGAATTAAGGCAGTCAATGGGGCTAAAATGCTATCATTTTTATCATTTATATTTGTTTATCAAACTTCTTTTATGATTCCTTTTTCTTTTGGTTACCTCATCTTTGACCCACCCATTTAATGTCTTGCCATACACCTTTCATCTTTGTAAATATGTTTTCCCTTTTTCTTATTTCTTTGGTCCATCAGGAGGCTTCATATCCCAGAAAAGACAAGTATGCACTCATAAACTGTAGTAAAATCAGAATACTCCAAACACACTCTCCTTAATTCAGCTTAATTCACTAAACATTTATTAATTACTTATTATTTTCAAAATACTGTGTCAAACTTGGGGAATTAAAAGTTTGACACAGTATGGGACCTGCTCTCAGGACCTATAGGAGTTTATGATCTAATAGAGTGAAAGGACTGATTATTATTCAGGGAACCAGGCAGCAAAGTGCTACAACAACCTGAGAAAAGTAAGGTCATTTTTGCTGGCTTGGGGTGGATATTGAGAGGAAGAGGAAAAAAGAAGGAAATGGAATTTAAATGATCCCTTGATGGAAGAGAGAGACTTCAAAAATGGAGATGAGGGAGGCTATTCCAAGTATGGGGGTGTGCAAATACATAAGGAAAGAATGAGAACAGAGGATGTAGAAGAGCCAGGTTTGGTTGAAATGTTCAATTCAACAAGCATTGATTAAATGCCTAGTATTTGCCAAGCACTGTGGATACAACACAAATACACACACACACACACACACACACACACACACACACACACACACACACCAGCCTGCTGTCAAAGATCTTATGTTCTATTAGAGTAACACTTATGTAGATAAATAGATAAAAGACATGCGAAATAAAGACAAAACAATTTCATATGGGGTACCAACAACCAGAGCTATTAGGAATACCATCTAGAATGAAGTAGTTGAGACTTGAAGGGAGCTAGGGATTTCAAGAGGTGGCGGTGAGGAGGGAGAGTATTCCAGGAATGGAGGACAGCCTATGCAAAGGCATGGGAAAAAATATGGAATGTCACTTATGGGAAACAGTGAACAGAGCAATTTGGGTAGGTGATGGGGTAGTCCAGGTGTAGTCAACCTGGAAAGATCATTGTAAAGCAATATTGTGAAGAGCTTTCAATGCCACACAGTGGAGTTCATAATATATCTCAGAGGCAGTAGGCAGGAAGCCAATGAGTACACCAAGAAAGCAAGTGTAAAGGAGAGGTGAGGGTCCTGGACAGAACCCTGAGGCAACCCCACATATAGTGGAAGGACCATGAATAATGAATTATCTTGCAAAGGAAACTGAGGAGGTTCTTACTGAGACTGGAGGAGAATCACAACAGAGAAATCTCAAAAGCCCAAGCACGTGAGAGAATCCAAGGGATTAGTATTAAATAAAACTAGTTTTGTAGATTGGAGTCAAATTATGGAGAAACCTGAATGTCAAGTTAGGGACTGAACATAAGGGAACATAAGTATTTGAGATTTCCAAATTTTTATAATTCCTATTTCTCATTAAGGGTAATTCCTTGGGTTCTAAGCATCATTTTCTTTTCTTTTGAGTAAGGAATTAGGCTGGGACTGAAGTATTGAGAATTGGGCTATTCTTTGAGAATCAAAAGAAAAGATAGCAATCTCCCAGAAGCAATGTTTATAATACTTTTGATCTTGAATATTAATCTGTGTTCTTTGGCAGCTATAGTGATGGACAAGGAAATCCAAGGGTATAAGAAATTCAGAATGGTACAGAAAAAAGGAATAGAAATAATTAAAAGAATAAGAAAAAGACCCAAGGGTGGGGGGAGGGAGATAAAAAGAATTGGGATTATTTAACTTACTTGTTGAAGGGAGGGTGAAGGGACTAATTATGCAGAGGATTATGACTAGATATTTCTACTTCCTCTGAAAACAGGGTGGGTGCAGCAAGAAGAATTTAGAAATTGGGCTACAGCAAAAGAAATACATAAAGAACTTCCTGGAAATAAGGTTTGCTAATTATTATAGTGAGTAAAGGAAGAATGCTGGGGAATTTTCTTTTCAGGAATTTTTTAAAAATATAGTAGCCAATGATCCTAGGACTGCAAGCAGGGGAATGAATGCAATGACTAGTCAAGAACAACATGAATGGTCCTGAAGCACAAAATTTAAATGGGAATTATAACTACTAGTTCTGCTTATTTCACTGTATGTCTTACATGTTTCTCTGAATTTTTCATATTCATTGTTTTTGTGATATATTAATATTTTATTGCTTTTATATACTACAGTTTGTTTAGTCATTCCACTGTTCACAGGCATATACTGTCTTTCCAGTTCCACAAAAAGTGCTACTCTGAATATTTTGCCTACCCTAATATTTGTTGATGCTATCACCTAATCATTTTCAACTATTGATCATTAAATAATACATTCACATTTCTCCCCACAAATCCCAGTAAAACAAATTACAAATATTAAATTTCTTTCCATCTCACTTTCCAATTCTCATTAGAGCATACTCAATTTATTTTTAAACCCTAGACATGTGAAATGTGCATTTTCATAGTTTTTATTTTTTACTGGATACCTTTGCTGTAGTCCTTTCTTCACATAAGGTTCTTTGAATTTTTGGCAACCACAATCAGGGTCAACACCAAAGATAACACAAATGTCTACTTTTCAACTTAGAAGGTACCTTCTAAGAGTGGAAACACAACTTTTTGATCTTCACATGTTTCAGTCAGTCAACCATTACATATATCTTGATCATTTACTATAAACCCAGACTCATCCTAGCTGTTGTAGGGGAAGCAGAAGAGTGAGGCATAGTCCTTGCCTTGAAATTCCTGTTTAAGATTAAGAAGCCATTCAAATGTCCTCTGTTTAGTCCTCTTTTTTAAAAAATTCTTCTAAGGATTCTATTTTTTATTCTAGTTATTTCCATCTGTTGAATACTTATTGTTAATCCTTTCAGTTTGCCCATCTGTATGTATTGCTTAATACCTCCCATCACACTATTTTAGATTTATCATAGCCTCATTTTTCTAACATCCCCTCCAGCCTCCTGGATAAATTACTTACTTCCTGCAAAGGACTTTGTACTCTATAGGTTTTCAAGTAAATCCCTGTGCTACCTTCCTTGTTTTGTATTGAACTCAAGAAAATCTCTCTCTTGGTGTCGGCTAAATCTTTTCTTTTTAGGGGCCAGAGGACAGGTGCGGGGGGAGCAATATTGATGTGGAGTAACATTGCTCAGTTATGTTAATCATAGGAATATGTTCCACCAGAATTTTTTATATCAGTGATCTCAGATTTTATTTCCTATTTAAAGCAAACATCAATTGCATAGGGTCTAGGATCTTTTCTACTACCCACAATGTGGTGAATTATTCATTTGGTCATCTTGAGTCCTTTAGGACTCGACATTTTCAGCGTGAAACAACACAACTTTTAGTGCTCATCTTTGCTTCAAATGAATTTGTGCTCCATTTCTGTTTTGGGAATCATCAATTGATTTCTTTTGAGATTATTTAAAGTTTTTCCCGTTCATCTCATTGCATTCTATGTAATACTTATTTTGGGAATCCATTAAAATATTTCACTGAAACTTCAATATGCTGTCATACCTTCATAATTTTCCTTTTAGATGAATTCCAGTTTAGTTGGTTGTCCTGATTTGCCATTTTCATTGAGATTTATAAATGAATTTTGACTACTTGAATTCATTCAATTTGGCATTAGGGAAAGTTTTGCCTAGTATCAAATGAAAAGTGAAATAGCGAAAAGAAATTCTTCATTCTACATATTTATGCTATATAACAATACTTTTAAAGATAGGTTGTTTAGAAAATAGTTCACTATGTTTAGAAAATAATCCCAAATTGGTATTTTTTATTATTGCAGTGTGGAATAGTAGGTAAGGAAATAGTGTTGGAGCTCGGAAGACCTGGGTTCAAGTTTAGCTTCAAGTCATGTCAACAAGCATTTATTAAGTGCTCCTATGTTTCAGGTGTTGTACTAAGCACTAAGGATACATAGAAAATCAGAAATGATCCTATTCTCCAAGAGCTCACATCTAAATAGAGATAATAATTGAATCCATGAGAGCTGCTAAGATCACCAAGGGAAACAGTATAGAGAAAGAAGAGAAGACCCAGGACAGAGCCTTAGGGGACACCCATGGTTACTAGATATGACCTAGATGAAGATTTAGCAAAGGAGATTGAGCAGGAGTGGTCAGATATCTAGGTAAAAGGAAGACCAAGAGAGAAGTGTCATGGAAACTGAGAAAAGAAAAAAAAGTATCCCAAAGGAAAAGATGATGAATAGCATCAAATGTTGTGAAAAAGTCCAGAAGGATGAGGATTGAGAAAAGGCTACTACAACATCTAAGAGATCGTTAGTAACTTTGGAGAGAATGATGAGATCAGACTGAAGACAGTAGAACAAATTTGAGCAACTAAGTAATTTTTACTCTTATAAATACCCAAATTAACTACAAAAGACCTGTGAAGGAAGATGTTGTCTATACCTGGAGAAAGAACTGATAAATAGGTGTGTGTATAGAATTATTTTACATACATGTATACATATATGCATACATATTTGTATCTAATAATAGTTGTTGATAGGGTGAGGGAGGGAAGAAAAAAGGAAAAAAAGAAATTTACAGGATAACTTTATTATATATATATAAAGAATAGCAAGTTGTACATAATAGATTTGCAGTTGCATGTGCAGTCATCTTTTTTATAATACTGTTATAGATATGCTTGTTTTATTCCATAAATTAAAAAAATAAAATAAATATTTTTTAAAGAAGAAAGTAAGAGGAGAGGGCACATATTGCTGCATACTGACTATGTGACCCTGGGCAAATTACTTAACCTTTTCATGCTTTAAGTAACTCTCTAATACAGTAAGTAGTTTCCAACATTTTGTTCTGTAAACCCCTTGCAACAACAACAAAAATATGTTGTGACACCCCCCCCCAGGATGATTTAATATGCTATTCACAATATCCTGTGATTATTTATCACTTAAGGCATCATTAAAGAATTATTAGCACAAACCTCTTGGGGGTTCCTGAACCACTAAATAGGAACTACTTTAGCTCGATAACTATAGTTACAGAGAAAGTGCTGACTTGGATCGATAGAGGTTGTTTCCATATCTGGGAATTCTCTGTATCAATGACATAAGAGATCTAATCCCTATTCCTCTTAGCATTTTAATATATATTATACCTTCTTACAAGACAGTTGAGTTAAAATTCCTGGAAATAATTTTTTAGTGGATTCAATTTACAACTTCAGTTTTGCCTTAGCATTGCAATTTAAAAAGCCATGAGCAAGTAGGGAAATTCTCATGATGATTCTATGTAGTTTCTCCATCTTGCCTGTCATAACCCAACATCTAAAAATTGGCTCTTCTATAAATTCAAGATAAGCCAAACAAAACATTGCAAGTTAGTCCTGCTCAAATTATAGAAATACATGCTCCACTGATGATGAGACAACTGAAATGCTGGTATATAATGTATATTGAGATGAAAGTTGATTCAGGCCATATCTACAATGCAAAAACAAAATCTGTTTCTACCTCCTTCATAACTCAGGTGTCTAGCCAGCTCTTGAGTAGTAACTGCAGATTAGGGTTTCATTGCTGAATGCATTCATGTCGCCATCTCAATTTGAGAAATGGATTTATTTTCTTCTCCATCTTCTGTTCCTTTGCCAAGAATCAATAGGAGTTCTGATTTAGGTAGGAAATCTGGTGATTCTTATACCTAGTCATAAAATATGTTGGCAGCTTCATGTATTTTCCAGAAATGCTACTTTCAGTTTTCAAAACCTTTCCTAGAATAAAATGAAAATGAAATGTTGAAAAGAAGTGCTCTAATAAAGAAACTGGATAAATCACTTCTTGTCAGTCCTTGTTCAACCTAATCCCATGCCTAGCCAGTCTCGCCTGCAAGCAAATATTTTGTTAAAATCCTAAATGCATTTAAAACAGACCCTTAATGCCTAGGTTAGAAACTATGCTAGACTCAAGAGGGTCAGGAGATGTCTTAATATGTACAGGTTGTAAAGTGGGAGCATAGGGGAAGGGTACCTGGATGGTTCTACTTCCTACTGCCCATGACCATGGATGAGGAAAATGGAGTGAGAGGAGAAAGAGTCCTACAAGCATGATTTGCATTCCAGTTAGGAATGAGCAGGAAACAAAAATACAAGAACCCCAGCCCTCCCGTATGCCTTCTTTCCCTTCTATTTTCTTTATTTCCCTCTCTTCTTACCAGTATTTTCCTCCCCCTAGGCTTGATGTTGTGTCAAATGCTTCATTTGATGAAAAACTAAAATGAAAATATACATTTAGTAAGGATATTTTAATGTTTTGTTTGAAATTCAGCAGTACATCAATCTGATGCCTTCAACTGGAATTTAATCTGGTGTTTCTGAAAACATTAATATAACTGGTGATGAACATTATTTTCATAGATCAATATCAAATATAGTTTACTTTCCTATATTCTTGTGGAATCATAAAACTGTTGAGCTAGAAAAGAGTTGAAAAATAATTTAATCCAACCCTTTCATTTTACCCAAGAGCAGAGTTAGATGCCTGTAAGTTAAATGCCCATGGTCACATAGCTAGTTAGTGGAAGAGTTGGGACTAGAGACCAAATGTTTTCACTTCCCTTCCAAGGCACTTTTCATTCTGAATGCTTTCATTAAAAAGATAAAAAGGCCAATTTAACATTAATATATTTTAAACTTTGTTTTAAAGTAGGTTGTTAGATCTTGAATGGATCATAAAGGTAAATTATTCTAACACCCTCATTTTATAAATGAAGAAGCAGTAATATAGGGCAAGTGATTTGGACAATGTCACCCATTTAGTTAGAAGTAGAGCTGGAGCTTAAACTCAGGTCTCCTGACTCCTATTCTTCTGTTCACCTTCTCTTACTTTATAATTCAGCCTAACCTGCCTTCTTGCTTCTCCTTATACTCCATCTCCCATCTCTGCACCTTTGTGGTAACTGTCTCCCATGCCTGAAATACATGCACTGCCATAATCACTTTTGCCTCTTTGAATCCCTTGATTCTTTCAAAATTCTGCTTAAGCTTCATATTCTACATAAAGCATTTCCTGATCCATCCAGATCCTAGTGCACCACCTCCAAAAAATTTACCTTATAGTTATTGTGTGTATATTCTTTAAATACTTATTATGTACTGTCTCCTGTGATGGCATGTAAGTTCCCTGAGGTCAAGGAATAGCTCATTCTGGTCTTCATGTTCCTCAGTGCCTGGAACAGTTCTTCTTTCCACTGTATCACACAGATTTCCAAGTAATTCATACCAACAGATTATGAACCAAGATGTTGAAAAATTTGTTTAAAGCATTATTCTGCTATATTTCTGAAAGTTAAATTAACCCAATTTAATTATTGATTAATAGCAATGTTACTATTTATCCTTAACCCAGGAAAATGAAAGGTAGCATTCATAAATAACACATATCTTTATGCCTACAGACACATCAAAAAAGGAAAAGCATATAAATTGAATTTTCAAAATAATATTCTCCCTCTTGGGTAAGGACAGTATCAAGATGAACTTTATATGTACACACACATATATAACATGTCAGTTGTGTGTATTTATATATGTAATTATGATATTTGATATATTACATATATCAGCAAGTACATGTATCTATACATATATAGATATGCTTTTCTACACACGTAATATACATATTACCTTCATTTGTCAGTGTTCTTCATATCACACACACATATACACACTCATTGATATTATTGCCCTAACCAAAACTTTAGAAAACATTGTCTTAACTTATGTTTAAGGCAAGATAAACACAGAGTGTCCCAAAAGTATAGCTTTAAAATGCACTAAGTATTTATCTTTCCATAAGCTCAAATAGCTTTAAACTGCACTAAGACTTTTAGGACACCTTCTGTATTTCTAGCAGAGTGCAGGATTCCAAGCTTTTGTTTTCCTTTACTATGCCAGGGTGGTTTTGGAAGCAGGTAGAGCTGGTATATTTCCCAAATGTATTAATTACCTTCTGCTTATTCCTTAGAAATTGTAGTTATATATTTATAAAACTTGGAGTTTCTTGTTAAATGTAACGTGGAAACATAAGTAAACATGAAATACAGTCATGTTGCCAGTGATCAAAATTTAAAAGATTTTTTTTAAACCAGACATCTCAGATTACCACCTTCACTTTTTCATTTTTAGGAAAGTAGCCAAACTTGAAGTTGTTTTTGATAAAAATTAAATAACTTTGTGTAATTAAGGAAAAATCCCTCCAATTCAAGTCATTATGTTCATCAGTTATTTTGTCCAGATAAATTTGTTTTAATATTTTTGTTATTATCATTATTATTATTTACAGGAGTAAAAATGGACTAAAGAAGAGGAAATTGACCAAGTAGGTTTCTCTGAATTTTTTTTCTCTTGATAATTTACTTAAATATATCTGTGTGAATATTGACAAGCCTTAGCTTAGTTACAAAAAAACTAAAAATCTGCTTGCATAGAAACAGGATGGTGTTTGGGAAACAAATCTATCCTATAATGTATAATAAGTCTGTATACTGAAAATGAACAAAACTAAGCCAAGAAGCTATGTGACTTAACACTATTGTTGGTAAGATCTGGGTTTAAATCCTGCCTCTAATAATAGGGTGAGCCATTGAACCTCTCTGACGCAAAAGTATTTTCTAAGATAGACAGGTTATGACCTGTGTTGGTGGAGAAATTATCTCCACCTAAGGAATCACTAGTTCTTGATGAAAATACTAAGAAAAAATATCATAGAATAAACCATAACACATAGGAAAATCAGGAAGAGAAAATTCAAATGGAAATATCAGAAAAGTTCTGTGAGAATTTTTTGCTTTAGATAACAGAAATTTTGCAGAATAATTTCAACAATTCTCATTCTATAGACCATCTAAGACAAGGCTAGGAAACATGGTGTGAGCAGTACTCTGAAGGTTTTGTCAGCTTGTATTTTTGATTCAGTGATTGTATTATGGAAGACCTTTTTTTTCTTCCCACATTTGGTATATAATAAATGCTTCTGGAAGTACTATTTCAGATTACCTCAACAAATAAAGAGCAAAAATGATTTCTCTGAGTAAAATGTATTTCAGTTATCTAGGAACATTTAAGTCAGCAAAACCAGGATTGCAATTGTTAAAGATTAACAGTTGCTGGGCTTCATTCTAATTACCCATTCCCTTCAGGCTTTTCCTTCATTAAAAATAAAAATAGTTTTAAATAAAAAATAGGACATTTATGCAAACAATTCACTCTTGATATTTGCCTCTGGTAGAACATTGAATCATTACTAATTGCAGGCAAAAAGAAAAAAGTGGGAATTGGCTGTTAAACTAAGTAATAACGAATGTAGGAATTATCCACTCCCATTGGAGGTATCTGTGGAATGGATGATATAAAAGTGGGTAATACAAAACTATTCATTGAATAGATGAACATTAATATCACTAGAATTCTTAGAATTAATATTATTTTTACATCACACTTTTCTCCTTAATTAAATTTTTCTCTAAGTTAATATTAGAATGTCAAATGCTTTTGTAGTCAACAAACAATAAGCACAGGGAAATCTTGTATTCTCTGTATCTTTCAGCCAATTTGTAATGGTAAAGATTGGGAGATTTGGTCTTCTGTGGAATTTTACCTGCAAAAACCTAACTGTTCTCCTCCAATATCTTCACCATAATTTCCCTCAATGTTTGTGCGGACTCTATTAATAAATGATTACTTACATGGGAAAGTAGGCCTATATGGCAGTAGAAGTTGATATTCCCATGGTCACTTTTTATGGGCAATGATAAAGGCTAAGACTTCCCCCATCATTTCTTTGATATCTTCCTTTCTCCTTCAGAAACCTTGAGAATTGCTCTCTCAAAACCCTCAAAATTATGTTACCTCCAGTACAGACCTTTTCTCTGAAAACTTAGTCTGTTTCTTTGTTTCCTTTAATGCTGTTTCTACCTCTCCTGTAATAAGCACACAAAAGCCTATGATATTAGTCTACATGTGACAGCTTCACTGTCCCTGAAGGTGAAAGTAGTTCATTATAAAAATATTTACAGACTTTTTCCGTTTTCATCTTTGGGGGAGATTTTTCTTCCAGTTTCATCCTTAAATGCCTTTGATGTGATTTTGTTAATATAACACCTTTCTGAACTAATGCATCAACTTCTATTCACATTGCCAGGCTGAATCTCTAGTAGGTAGATGATTGTTTCTACTCTCAGGGTTCTGGGGGTGGTGGGTTTCTAATTAGCAATTCTAATACCATCAATCACAAGTCTTCATTCAGTGTGATTTCTCCCTCCAATATATTAACCAGATGTTATCAGTTAGCTTTTACAAAACAATGTTTACTAAGACGGTATAGTAAGAACAGAAGTCACAGAAACATTCTAAACCAGGTCATGTTCTCCCTTCAGCACCTACTCAGTCTCTGAGGAGAGTGGCCTAAAATCTGAAACATGAAGGTGCTGCACACAATTAAGGAACACATGGAGTACCTCACAACTCCTGGCTGTGGGAGTCCTTTTCTTCCTTTTGTGGCATCCTCACCAAATTCACTTCCGTGTATAATGCCATAATCACTTCCTTCTTCAGCTGGGCTTGCTCCTGGGGCAAGCAGATCTCTACTCAGGACTGGTTTTTCATGAGAGTCAGCTACTGCTCTTTACAAGCTCTGTTTGATTCTTCTACCAATTTTGTTCATTGAGGAATTTCCTGATGGCTCTTCTGACTTTTTCTTTTGAGACTGGGTCTCCCTAGTTCACCCAGGCTACAAGCGTACATGGCCTAATCCTATTACTGATGAGAGCTTTGACCTGATCCATTTCTGTCCTGCTCAGGCTATATCCCCTTTAGGCGGCCTGGTAAGCCGCCTCTTTCCAAGTCTGCCAGACTTGGTATAGACAACCAAGCATCTCAGGTAACTGCAGCTCAGAATTCCTGACCTCAAGTGATCCATCCACCTGAGCTCCCTCAGTAGCAAGTATAGGTGTGTGCCACCATTCCTGCCTCTCCTCTGACCTTTTGAAGCTCACAAAGCTGGAAGTTGATCCATTTTGTCAGGGGATACTCATTCACCTAAGATAAGGAAAGAATAAAACACAACAGAACTAGGCATCATGAACTCAAGCATACTTGGCATCTGGTGTTGCTGGCCCTCCCCTCAGAGGCTCATAGCAGTTATTTCTTTCTTTTTAATAGTATTTTATCTTTTCCAGTTACATGTAAAGACAATTTTCAACATTCCTTTTTATAAGATTTTGAGTTCCAAATTTTTCTCCTCTCCCCACCCTCCCCAAGACAGCGAGCAATTTGATATAGGTTATATGCGTGCAATCATGTAAGATATTTCTACATTAGTCAGGTCATGAAAGAAGAAACAGAATAAAAGGAAAAAACACAAAAAAAGGAAGTGAAAATAATATGCTTGGATCTGCATTCAGACTCTCAGTTCTTCTTCTGGATGTGGGTAGTATTTTCCGTCTTGAGTCTTTTAAATTGTCTTGGATTGTAATGCCAAGAAGGGCTAAGTCTATCGTAGTTGATCACACAATGTTGGTGTTACTGTGTACAGTTGTTCTCCTAGTTTTGCTCACTTCACTCAGCATCAGTCCATGTGAGTCTTTCTAGGTTTCTCTGAAATCTGCCTGCTCATCATTTTTTAGGTTATACATGTCTAGTCATGCAAAACATATTCATAATAATCATGTTGTGAAAGAAAACATAGATGAGAACAAAAAACTCAAGAAAAATAAAGTAAAAAAAAGTATACTTCAATCTGTATTCAGATACCAACAGTTCTTGCTCTGGGGTTGGATAGCATTTTTCATCATAAGTCCTTCAGAGTTCTGTTGGATAATTGTATTGGTAAGTCATTCACAGATGATCCCTTTACAATATTGCTATTACTTTGTACATAGTATATTTCACTTTGCATCAGCTCATGTAAGTCTTTCCAGGTTTTTCTGAGAGCATCCTGCTCATCATTTCTTATAGCATAATGGCATTCCATTACATTCATATACCACAACTTGTTCAGCCATTTCCCAGTTGATGGGCATCCCCTCAATTTCCAATTATTTGCTATCCCCTCAGTTTCCAATTCTTTGCCACCACAAAAAGAGCTATAGCAGTTATTTCTTACCTGAAAGTCAGCAGGAGAGAAAATAAGTGTAAGAAGGGTCAAGGCAGGACATAATTTTTATAGAACTGAGTTGTGGTTCTGTCTTCAGGCCTTCTGGCTTTGAAGCCAATTAGAAACTCATCACCACTGTACCAATGGAGTTACCAGTACCTCAGCCACACATGGTCAGAAAAAAGCTCACCAAGCCTACATACACTGTATTGAAACCAGGCAGGGAATATTGTGTGTGCTCTGAAGACTAAGACCATATTGGCCAGTACTTAACATGATTAATTAGATCTCCCACCAAAGTTTTTTTTTTTAATTGGCTTTCACCTCTATGATTTCTGATTGTAAGCAGTACTGCTTTTTTATTTAGCTTTTTTAATTTTTCTAAGGAAATAAAATATAAGGTAGACTGTTCCAACTGTATTTCTGATCATCAGATTAATCCAGTCTAATTACTGATTAATAACTCTATAATTAGTTACCCCTAACTCAAGAAAATCAAAGGTAGCATATATTAATAGCACACATGACTCTCAATTCAGCCAGAGAGTCAAATGTTTGCTGACAAAGGTGGTTGGAGGAACTTTTGATCTTCTTGTTGTAGTAATTAATCAAAATTAATTAAATTTAATTAAATTTCTCTATGACATTATTATAATCAATGATGATGCTCTTTCCTCCATCCGTTTTCCAACTCTTGATATGGATAGCTTTTAAAAATAGGTTATGTTGGAGTAGTTTTCATTGTATGGCATTTTTTTCTTATCTTCATTCTTTTTTTCTATCTTTCTGCTAATTTTTGTGTTTACCAAGTTGTTGGACTGACTACACAGATAGTTGATTCAAAATTGACTCCCTCATCAATGAGTCTTTCCTATCCATTAAAATATAATCAATTTTATTTTTTAATGTTATCCAGTGTTCATCATGGTTAGCAATTCTCTGGAAAGCATCCATGAATTACAGACATGAAATTTTCATATAATTTGTGATCATTGATCTCTCACAATTTTTTTATTCCTGAGCCAAATTTTCAAACATCTTTTTTGCTATCCTTGGCTATTCAGATCATAGTGCCATTTTCCTTTTATTAATCATCTTTGCCAATCTGATGGTTTTTTCTTTCTTTTTTTTTTTTGGTTAGGTGACTTGCCCAGGGTCACACAGCTAGTAAGTGTTATGTGTCTGAGCCCGGATTTGAACTCAGGTCCTCCTGACTCCAAGGCTGGAGCTCTATCCACTGCGCCACCTAGCTGCCCTGCCAGCTAGGTGGTTTTAAAACAGAATCCCAAATTTTTTTAATTTTCATTTCTCTTATTATGAGTGATCTGGAGCATTTGCATAAGGCTATTTATAACCTGCATTTCTTCTTTCCCACCAATCTTTCAGACTAATTACACATTACTTTTCCTTATAAATTGCTCCAGCAAAACTTGACCCACTTGGATTACTCATATATGACATTTCATTTCCTTCATCTGTACTTTTGCATAGACTGTCCCCTTGTCTGGACCAAACCCCTAACTCCCTTCAAAGCTTAGCTCCAGTGAAGCCTCCTTTAAGAAGTCTTTCTAGATTTCCTTAGCTGTTAGATCCCCTCCCTTCCAAATCACCCCTTTTTATTTATTTTGTTCATGTCCCTTTATCTCACTTTATCTTCATAAAGTTAAGTCACTTGCCCATGGCCACACAGTTAGTGTCTGAGGCCTGACTAGAACTCATGTCTTCCTCACTCTGGACCCAGTGCTCTATCCATTGCACCACGCAGCTAATGTCAGTTGAGGCATGCAATATGTAGATTTATGCTTGCACGATATGATTGCCCCTATTATCCAATACAAAGTTCAAGTTGAAGCATTCACATAGGTGGTGAGGTCCTCCAGATATTCCTATTTATTAATAGCATTATACTGATTCAAGAGTAGCCCAGAACATTGCAGGGCATCCTAGCTGACATTCTTAATGGCTCAAAAGGGCCTGGACTAATCCTCCATTTAGAAAGAATCAAGTGTTGAAAATGTTTAGATATCTTCCACTATATATAGGTCTGGGACAAACACGGGAAGCACACAATGACTGGAACCCAGGTTTGAACAGAAGAAGAGAGTGGGCTACGTTGACTATTAGAAATTGCAAAGTTCTTTTAATTGCCTTAAGCTTCTCCAGGAAAGAAAGGTCCATTTTTTAAAAATCAGCATTATTTTGTTGGTGTTATATGACTAAGAGTAGTGAAACACTGTAGTCTCCAAAGAATTCTAAATCACCTTCACCCAAAGAGCAATGGAGAGAGGCATGGTGAACATGAATGAGTCATAACACATTACAAACAAAATATTATGTAAATGAAGCAATATAGAGGATGCCATCAAAGAAGTATTTGAGCAAAAAGAAAAATGGAACAGTCATAATGGTGAGACTGAGGGAGTCAGGAAGACCAGATGGCCTGCTAGCTGTGCAGCCTTGGACGAGTCACTAAAACTCTGTCTACCTCAAAATGGAGATAATAAGAGCACATACCTTTCAGTGTTCTTATAAGGATAAAATTTGTAAAATGCTTTGTGAACTTTAAAGTGCTATCTAAATGCTAGCTAACTATTGTTATTATTATTATGTACTATATGTATAAACTTTTGTATATGTACATATATACACACATAGAATAAATATGTGACAAGAAACAATAAATATGTGATATTTGTTAGAAACCTTCCTAACTCAGTAAAGTACTCATCAGAGTTTGTACTCTGTTGCAAAAGCTTTTAAGAAAATAAGGTTAATTAACTCTGTCCCCAAATGAATCAATAAAGAAGTGGGAGTACATGCATACATGAATATTACATGAATATTATATACACAAATATATTTATATATCGACATATGTGGCAAGCACACTCAATAAATGCTTAGTTCGATTTTGCCTGAGTTTCTATAAAATCTCTTTATCCTATTAGTACTGGATTTTTAATGAGTCAACAGCATTGCTGGGGTTCTGATGGAATGGTTTGATCAAATAATGAAGAAGATAGAAGGGTACATTATTTGTTTTTACTGCATCAAGGAGTAACAAGGTTGACACAACAGGAGAAATAAAAAATATCCTTTAATTTCTTAGCCAGTTCAGCACATGGGTCACTACCTTCAAAGAGCTTGTTGAAAGATAGATAATATCAACTAAGAAAAATGCTGAGAATTAAACTTTTAAGATTGTGAGTTGTCGTATAGTAATCATGAAAGTTCAATGTTATAAGTTCTATATTTATCAAACGTGAAAAATTGAGGCCAGAGTAGGAATGTACCATTGAATGAGATGCCATGTTAATTACTTATACTCATTTAAATACATAATACTATATTTTAACAACATTCTATTCTATTACTTTCTTTGTGCTTAACAAAGTCCTGTTCAGCTGGATGACTTTGATGCCTACATCAAAGAGATGGCCAAAGATTCAGATTACAAATTTTCTCTACAATTTGAGGTAAGTGTGATATAACAATTCATTTCAATAAAACAAATATTTATATATAGGTGTAGTCTTTATATTATCTGTCAATGTTGGTGGTATATAATGAAAAGAAAGGAAAACCTTTTTATTCACTGTTTGATGACTCCCACCCTTGGAATGTGGGCAGGCTAGACTTTCCCAGCCATTCTCCTCCTATGCAGCCTAATGCCTAGGCACCAGCTAAGTATCCCTGGGGAGAAAACAATGGAAAGGATAATTCAATAGCTACTTTTATCAGTAGCTATTGACTTGTTTTAGCTTAAAGAAAGAAAAATCTTGGGGCTTTCCCCTGTTTGGGGACTTTGATTTTTTTTTTAAATTAATCAATTAAAGCCATAAGGTTCTTTTTCAATTGACTTAGACTCACTGTCAGGAAAAGGTTTTATAGTTTGGACTGAAGTTTGAACCTCTTGTTTGCATCTTGGTATTTCACAGGCTTAATCAGATTTTATTTAGTGAGCAAAAATTCATACTTAAACAGAAAATAGATGATTTTATAGAATCGAATAAGCTTTGGAATCAGCTTCTGCCTCTTTTGAGCAGAGAGGGAGAAGGAAGAGGAGATTCATCTTCACAGCCAGAAACCTGTTCTTTTAGATGGAACTCAAAACACTCACTCATCACTAACTCCAACTGTACAATTCTGGCTGCTGAAAGTAGAGGCAGCTACTCAACTTCAACATTCAGTTTTCCAATTTGTAAACTTGAGTTGCAAAACGCTTACTTAGAGCTCCTCTCTTTTTTGACTTCCATCTAAATCTACACTCAGGGTCTCCCTCTGGAACTCCTCTCTCCCCAATCAGATTGTGCTGTTGCCAGCATGGATTACTTCAGTGTACATTTTGTCCAGGCATTCCATTTGTCCCGACTTTGTCTCCTTCAGTTTAATGTACTAGTGACGGAAATTTCAGGGTACAGATTTGATGGTTTCTCTACAACTGATGATGAAAACAGATTGTTATAGAAAAATGGGAGGTTTTGTTACATTTTACAGTCACTTGTTTTCCTTCTACCAGATTCCTCTGACTGTTCTTGGAAAGTTGAAGCTTAGTTACGTTTCATGCCAAACTTTTTGTAGACTTTGCTTCCAGTGGTTTTTTTTTTTTTTTTTTTTTGCTGTTTTACAAAGTGTTACTGCTCATAAAGTTCTTCCACTCTCTTCCATGGTTTTTTTAAAAAACGTCTCTCTTAGCTGCCATCTCTCCCTCCTTGGCAGGGAAATCAAGTGTTTGCTAGTGAAGGGGAATTAGGGACTCTTTTTACTTATTCATTCTGTTGACAATTTTATGTCAGGTAAACTTTTTCCAGCAATGGTGATAATCAGGGTCAATATCACTGTTTTTTTTTTCCATTTTCCATTTTGGAAACATTAATAGCTTCTTTGGATAAGTCAGTTTAGAGCTATTAAAACTTCACAGTGACCTCTTCTCATCTTTATCTTTATTCCATGTTGATTTTGACATTTGCCCTTATTGGTCTTGTTGCATACACAGCTAATATGATATGACTTCCATGTCAGTAACCAGTCATTTCCTACCTATTGTGATATAATGTCATTTTTGTTTATGTATATGTGATGACAATCAGCATCACCAAGTATATTTTCATATGGTTTAGAGGATCTTGTCTAGTTCTTTAGGTTGTAAAATTTCTCTACCTCTTTGTCTTCTGCAAGAGATGTTGGTGTAGCAGAGGTACAAATTAGTACAATCATTTTGAAAAGGAATATAGAATTTTGCAAATAAAGTGACTAAAATATCCATTTTTTTTTGTGCTACCACTTTTGTGCTAGCAAAGAACTGGAAACAAAGTAAATGTCCACCAGTTGGTGAATGGCTAGACAAATTATGGGATATGAATATCTTACTGTGCTGCAAGAAATGACAAATATGATGAGTACAGAGAAGCATGGAAAGACTTACTTGAATTGATGCAGAGTGAAATAAGCAGTAAAGAAAACAATGTATACAATGACTAAAACAATATAAACAGAAAGAACAACCACAAACAATAAAAAACGAATGTTGCGAAATTGCAATGGCCCCAAAGAAGAGATAGGAAAAGATACTTTCTCCCACTATTTCTCAGAGGTGGAAAAGCCATGGTTATAGAACATTCAATGCTTTTAGATTGTTACAGTGTATTGAATGTTTTTTTAAAATTGATTTTTCTCTTCTTCCTCTTGTTTTTTAAAAAAAATATTCTTTGTTATGTGAAATGGCTGTTGGGGAAGAACAGGAGGCATGTACAGGGAGAAATTTTGGTGATGTTAAAATTATATCAATAAAATTATTTTTAAAAACAGATGCTGATTGTAACTTATGATTATCTTCATGTCAATCTTCTTATTTATGTTTATCATGAGCACTGCAAGGCAAGAGGATCAAGATCATGTGACATGATGTTTTTTCTTGCCTTTGGTCACATGTTCAAACCAACTCTGACAACTTCTTTGTCTCTCCAAGGAGAATCTCTAAATCATTCTTTGTTTAGATGCAATTACTTTTTTATTTTCTGGCTTCATTTATCACAAGAATATCCATATTGATGTGGTTCAGTTCTTCTAATTGTGTGAATTCACTGGTCATTAGACAAAGAACTCTCATTTATAGATACTCTTAAAACTGTGAGATCATTAGTATTCTCTGAGCTCCTTTTCATCCTTCCACCATGACCCAATGGAAATAGAAAGGAGTTATATAGTATTAGGGGCCATTTAAAATTTCTTTCTTTTTTTTTTCTTTTTCTCTGTTCTCAGTTAGGTTGGTCTTCAGACAGTAGACCATAAATCTCAATATATAACTTCTTACATTTCCCTTGGAAAAACAGTGGAACAGTGTCAGTTTCTATACTCTCTAATTTTCAAAGGATAATAGCCATCTTTCCCAGTTATTTAGTGAAATTTCCTTAATTCGAATCCTATCCCCTGCAATGTAAAGGTCCTCTCTATATAGCTTTTTGTAGATAAGCAAAAAAAGATTTAGCATATAATCTCAGAATTCTCCTCTTTGTCATTAATAGGAGTTGAAGCTAATTGGACTGGATATTCCACATTTTGCTGCTGATCTTCCACTGAATAGATGTAAAAATCGTTACACAAATATTCTACCATGTAAGTATACTGAACATTGATCCAGTTATGCTGGTATAAATCAAGGGCCAAAGTTTGTTTGTTTTTTTTTTTTAGCAGTTTATCAGTTTTTCTTAACTATGACAAAATCATGTCACAAATCCATGTCCCTGTTTAGGGACATGGGTGTCTGTAGATTTGGTAAGAAATGGTTATGAATGGGTGGTATTTTACTAAAAGAAATTATGAATATTTAACCCTGGTTGAAAACATTAAACTTCAGGCTGAGATTAAAATAAGGGTCCCCATAACAGGTGATATTTATTTAACATTTCAGGAAGGTACAAGTGAAAGACAGCTTATCTGAAATGCCTTCTTACAGCTGACAAGCTCTACTCAACCTGATAATTTTTGCAATAGGAATTGTATTTTAGGAAAAGACAATAGAATATACAGTTAAAGATCCCTTTTCTAACTAGACTCTACTTTTTCTCTCTGCTGAAGTGTGCCATGAATACCACCCCAAGATTTGTAGAATCAGAAAAAAGATTCTGGGGTCACCAGATAGGTCTGCCCACAAGCCAACTCTTGCAAAGGCACACTTGTAACTCCTTTCATACCCTAAGAGTTAGATGGCATTTCATATAGTCGTTTCCCCTCAGGAAATGATCCAAGGGATGATATGTTTATGAAATTATCAGATGACATGAAACTGTTAGGGATTCCTAATATATTTGGATGGTGAAATCAAGAGTCAAAAAGGCTGAAACAATGACAAGTTTGTAAGTTGAGATTTAATTGCATTAATATATTAATAATGATATATATTAAGTTCTGCATTTGAGTCCAGAATATCAACTGTACAAATATAGAATTTGTCAAATATAGGTAGATAGTTCATGTGGGGAACCCCCTAAAGAGTATTAATCAATTACAAGTTTTATATGAATTATGCTACAATCTAAAAAACTAATGAAAACAGCTGTCATTTGTGTCAGTGATTTAAGATGACAACTACTTGCCATATTTAAGTGTGTAATTGTCAAGTGGGACCAGCACTAGCAATTAATGACATCCCCTAATGGCTCCATTACTAGAGTGAATGGAGGTGGGGGTGATGATAATAAGGGCTGAGAGGAATAGGAGAACCAGGGTCAAGCAGAGGGATTGTGGGAAAGTTAGGGAAACTAAAATACAGCAAGTACCAGAGTTGATGCTATGACCAAAGTCAAGCTACCCCCTGGAAGTTTAGGTCTTTTTATGCTGGAGTCATGTGTGCCTTGCCCCAGCTGGTGCTCACGTCCCTTCATAATCCTAAAAGTCTCATAGACTTTTGCTGACTTCGCCCACGCTTCAATTGAGGGCTCATAAAGTACCCATCTCACATGAAGAATTGTGAATATAACTCCCCTCCTTTTGGCATCTTTACAGATGACTTTAGCCGTGTCAGATTAGTCTCCATGAATGAAGAGGAAGGAGCAGACTATATCAATGCCAATTATATTCCTGTAAGTAAAGAGAATCAGGAAGTATAACTGATCAAAAATATTAGAATATATGTATATGCATATTATATGCATACTCTGTGTGTGTATGTGTAGATTGGTGTGAATAATTGCATAGACTTCTTCAGTAAACATTTTTAAGCACCTACCATGGGGAACCTGATATAGGGCAATGTAGTATACAAATATACCTAAAGGCATAGATTTCTATAATGGAACTTACAGTCTAGGAAGTGTAAGGCACATGTTCAGATAATACAAAATCAACTGAAATATTATAAAGTGCTAGGAGATCAGATGAGAGAAGTCAGTTCCAGGGTAAAAAAAGAAAGAAATATTTAATAAATCTTCTCTCTTCCCTATTGTTTAGTGGACAATATCCATTTTTCTTTTTCAGAATGTAGAGTAAAAACAAATGAACAAAACCCTATTCTCTTTTTTTCCATTTTCAAATATTATTCTAACAGACTTTTAGTATGAGCTGAAATCAGAAATGATGCCACTAGTTACCTCTACTTTTTGTGATTTTTCAAAGCTGGAGATCTGAAATAGCTACATCTGAGCCACTGGGATGCCACCCCAACCAACTGCTCAAAATGGTTGTAAAGACAGAAATTGTCAGGCTGTTATATGTTCTAGAGCCTTGGAAGCAATGCTGGACATCCTATAGGTCTGTGTAGTCATTTAAATTAGCCTAGGTGGCTAGCTAACAAAAACATTTTCAAAATTTAACCTTAAAAAACTATATGGTTAGAGTCAGATTTTTCTTTTTAATCAGGCCTCCTACATTAATACTGCAGGTGCTTATAATTTGTCCATTCAGGCACTAGTGTTGGCAACAGCCTATGGGTAATGCCTTTACTACTTTTTTTTTTAAAACAGGGGTATAACTCACCACAGGAGTACATTGCCACACAGGGACCCCTCCCAGAAACCAGGAATGATTTTTGGAAGATGGTTCTGCAGCAGAGGTCACAGATTATTGTCATGCTCACTCAGTGTAATGAGAAAAGGAGGGTAAGTACCCAAGTTCTGTTTTAAGCTGGGGAAATCAATTGGAATCCTTCAGTTTATATTGAAAATAGGACTTTTGTGTATTTATATATGCATATATAAATAAATATATGTGTATTGTTGTAGTGCAGGAACTCAGCTTCTGGCAGGTTCATGTTAGATTCAGCCAAACCACAGAAAGACAATGGAGCAACAGACAGGGGATTCATACCAGTTTATTGCTCCAACTGGTGGCCAGCAAGGAGGAAGTGAGGAAAGATAGCCGCACTCCTTAGCCAGTGCGCACTTGATTTATAGGATAACAGGCGAAGAAGGCATTTTGCTAAAGAGCAGCTTCATAAGTTCATATTAACTTTAACAATATAATGATGACAGCATAGCATATGAGCAGTAGGTGTTTACTACTTTAAGCATAAATGTTTATATTTTTCGAGGTTATACAATGATGCACAAGTGTAGTGTGACCATAGATCCTGGGAACTAATATCTATGATTCTGGGAACTATTATCTAAAAAAGAATAACAAAATCCACCTTATATATAATTGTATATTGCATTATACAATATTGATGTATTTATTATATATTATATATACATTTATTATATTATATTGTATTACATCATATTACATGATATATCATATCACATTATATAATATTATATAATATAATATTATATTATATTTACATATATTGTAGTATTTAGACAGTAAACATGGTAAGTATTGGGAAAGAAATTTCAGTGAAATGCCATTGATAAAACTTTAACACAAATTAGGGCATTTGGTTTTTGAGTTTTATTTTGTTTTGTTTTTTAACCAAACATACCAGAACCTCTTCATCCAAATGAACCTTGTTGCTTGCATAGCAATCGCTCTGGGAAGTGATACCCACTTATTCAAACACTGCTACCATTGGTCACGGCACAGAGATTCTACCTTCAGAAATGCCTTCGGTCATCCGCTGACTTAGATCACTTTCATTATTTTCTGGTCCCACCTTGTTTCTGACCCAAGTGCTAATTGCTTGACCTGATCCACCTCCACATTCCCCAGATTCAACTTCAACTTAGCTAAGCTATTCTTCAGATTCCAGAAATACAGGCCTTTGCTTAGCCCCTGCTCAAAATCTTTCCAGCTTGGTAGGAACTGCTGTAGCTTGTGTTTTGCTGGCTGAGCCTTCTAGAATAAAAAAAGTTGGTATTTACATAGTTCTTTAAGGTTTGCAAAGCTACTTATGTACATTTTCCCACTTGATCCTTGCTAATCTATGAAGAAGGCACTATGGATTTATTATCCTCATTTTACATATCAGGAAACTGAAACTTAGAGAGGTTGGGGACTCTCCCACAGTAACACAGATATCAAGAATCAGAAACAAGTTTCACTTCCCTGTTTCTATCAGGGGCACCACCATCCTTCTGGTTACCCAGTCTCACAACTTTAGGGTCCTCTTTTACTCCTCATACTCCCTTATCTCCCACATCTAACAAGTTTCCAAGTCATCAATCCTACTTCCACATCTCTCACTCCATACTTTTCTTTCAATTCACATGGCTAATACTCAAGGTCAGGCCCTCATCAACTCTTGTCTGACCTTATTTCGGTAACCTCCTAATTGATTCTCCCTGCCTCTAGGCTCTCCCCTCTTCAAAGCATGCTAGTCTACATAGCTGCCAGTGATATTCCCAAAGCACATGTTGAGCCAAGTCATTATCCCACTCAAGAAACTCCAGGGGCTCTCTGTGGCTCTATGATGAAATACAGGATCTTCTGTTTTATTTTTAAAACCTTTCACAATCTGTCTCCAGCCTACTATTCCGGAGTATTACACATAACTCCTCGTCATGCATTCCATGCTCCACCTAATTGATATACTCACTGTCCTTCGCCCTTGATGTTCCATCTGTAGTCTCTGTGCTTTTGAACAAGCTGTCCCACATGCCTGGAGTGCACTCACCCTTCACTTTTGCCTTTTAGAATCCCAAGTCTCCTTCAAAACTCAGCCCCAGGATTACCTCCTATGTGACATATTTCCTCCTTCTCCCCAGTTGCTAATGCCTCCTTCCCCCCAAAAAATGACCTTACATTTTACATATTTTGTATCTACTTATGTTTGTACATGTTATTTCCTTCAATAGAATCTAAGTACCTTGAGGACAGGAATTATTTAATTTTCATCTTTATTTTGCCTAACACCTAGCAAAGTTTCTGGCACATAGTAAGTACTTGATAAGTGCTTGCCAATATGTTGATTGACTCTAAGACCAGTCATCTCTCGGTACCATGATGACACATTGAAACAGTGAAGCTTGTATAAAGAAAGGGCTTTGTAATGTATCAGTGTTATGTGGCATGATCCAATGGAAAAAGTGAAAGCCAGAAGACCTTGATTCAAGTCCTAGGCTCTACTAATTAATATCTGCTAATGACTTTCTGAATAAAGACTCTTTTCCAAGGCTCAGTTTCCTCATCTATAAATTAAGGCAGGTTTGACTAGATGACCTTTACAGTAACTTCCAGGTCTACAACTATAATTTTGTGATAAAAATATTTCAAGTACTAATTATAAAATAAAATGTTAACTTTAATTTACCTATTTCTGTCTGGTTTGCATCCTTTCTAAACTGTACCCTCTCTTCTTATCATACAATCCTATATGTAGAACCAGAAGGGCTCTTAGAGGCCACCTAAATCAACCCCTTCATTAAACAGAGGAGGAACCTGAGGCCCAGGGAGGTTAAGGGGTTTCATAAGAGTCAGAGGTAGGATTTCAAGTTAAGTCTTTGTTCCTTATTAAGGTGAAGCTTGAAGATCAAAGAGAGAGGAATCAAATAAGATTATAAATTTTTAGTCTTTTCTTAAAATACCTTGATGGATTTCTTATCACTCCTCCTCATAGTTGTTCTGAAAGCAAATATCCTTTTTTTTTTTTGTTCCAGGTGAAATGTGATCATTACTGGCCCTTTACCGAAGAACCCATTGCTTATGGAGACATTACAGTGGAGATGACTTCTGAAGAGGAACATAGTGATTGGGCCTATAGAAGTTTCCGAATCAGCTATGTAAGTGGCAGGGACCACATTACTTTGCTTACCACAAATTTTGGGAATTCTCTGCAATTATCAGGTGAAGAGACTAGCATTCAAGATAGACATTGATACCTATAGAGTTTGAAATATAAATTCTTCCAGGATATAATCTCATAAGTGAACTTTGGCTTCACAGTTTCCATTCCATTCAATATGGATTTGGATGGCATGGATCCATTCATCAATCAACCACCAAGCCTTTGCTAAGGGCTTCCTATGTTCCAGAACTGTGCTAAATGCTGAAACTATGAATAAGAATCTGAAACAATTCCCACCCTCAAGAAGCTTACATTCCAATGAACTGTAAATCAGAACATACAAGATAAATAGGGATTCTAAGATAATAAGGGATTCTAAGTGTTGGAAGTTGAGAAGGAGAATGTTCCAGGCCTGGGGAACTCTTTATATAAGGGCAAGGAGATATGAGATAGATGGAGGATCCTTTGTGAAGAATAGTAGGCAAGCCAGTATGGCTTTACCTTACAATACCTAGAACATAAGAAGACTGGAAAGAGGAAGGGGCTGGGTGGTAAAGAGGCTTAAATGCTAAAAAAAGACTTTTTATTTGATCCTGTAGGTATTAGAAAGTCACTGGAATTTGGTGGGGCAAGGGATATGTAGAAGGAATGACATATCAGTCTCATGCATTAAGAAAATCACTTTGTCAGCTGTGCAGAAGATGGATTGGAATGTGTAAAACCTTGAGCCAAGGAAACAAATTGGAATATTATTTATGTAGTACAGGCAAGAAGGTTATTAGAGTCTGAACTAGGATGGTGGCTATGTGAGACATGTTATAGAAAAAAAAACATTACAATATTTAGTAAGTGATTGGATACCTGGGGTAAACAAGAGAGAAGAAATGGGGAGGTTTTGAGCCTATTGTAACTGGAAGGTTGGTGGTACCCTCAATAGTAATAGCGAAATTTGAGAGAGGGTAGGTTTTGTTGGGGGAAAAATAATGAGTTTTGTTTTGAACACATTGAGTAAGAGATTTTGCCATCCCATTTGAGTTGCCTATAAGACATTCGATTTAAAATATGCAACTGGCATTTGTTGATTTGGGACCATAACTTAGGAGAGAAACTAGGTTTAGTAAAAAAATGTAGAGAGACTCATCAAATGAGATCACCAAGTAATAAAGTATAGAAAGGAAAGGGGAAGAGAGGGAATCTGGACACTAGAGTAGGGTCAAGAAACTAGAGGTCAAAAATGAGGAAGAGGTACTGTAGTAGAGAGGAAGGAACAGAAAGGTATGGGTTAGAACAAAATCTCGAAAAAACCTATCCAACAGCATTCTGCACGTCTGCAGGACAGTGAAAATTGATGCTCAATCATCAAAAAGTAATGATATTTACCATAGTTCTATTTTTTAATGCTAAATATGTCTTCTAGTTTCCAGCCACTTCTAACCTGAAATCTTATGTTCCTTTGAATTGAGCTCTTTGTCCTTAGATCTTCTCCCTCCTCCTTCAACTCCTCCTACATAGAGATGCCAGATTCATTTTCCTAACTTACAATTTTGATTATATGATTAAATGAAATAATGTTTGTAAGGTGATTAGCACAGTGCTTGGAACATGGTAGACTCTTAATAAATGCTGATTCCTTCTCTCCCTCCTTCTAATTACTTGAAAGTTGGTAATTCATATATGTTGGATAGGGGGACATACTATTAATGTGAGCCTTCTATTTCCCAAGAATTCCTAATAACCAGGAGATTATTGTGTGTGCTATAATACTCAACTAAATCTGTGATAGGATAATGACAATAACACCAACAAACTAAGTAACAAAAACAAGTCACATTTACATAGCATTTATAGTTTATAAAGCACTTCCTTTCAAATAATCCTGTGAGGTAGGTAGTAGTACAAATACTATTATCCCCATTTTACAGATGGGTAAATTGAAGCCCAGAGAGATTAAATGAATTTCCCACACTAATACAGCTAGTAGGGAGCATAGCCAAATACAATATTCATTCCTTTACAGATCAATCTCCAAAATATCATCCTTTGCCCTTTTAATCACCTGCCTTCACAGCAACTGCTATTCTGCCTTGACTTAATTTCCTAATGAGGAAGCATATAGATGAATAAGTAGGTACATACAATATATACACAGAGTAGATGGAAGGTAACCTGAAAGAGGAGGCATTAGCAGCTTGGAGGCCTTGGAAAGGCTTCTTTCTTGAAGAAAGGCTTTAAACTGAGTCATGGGGGAAAAAGTGAGGCGAACTAAAAAGCAGCAGTTGAATTTGCAGAGTATACTAGGCATGGGAAACAACCAATGCAGAGGCACAGAAATGAGGGAGGTTGTGTTCAAGGAACTGCACAGTAGCTGTTGTAGTTGTAGTAATAGATTGTAAAAAGACTGAAAAGCTAGGAAGGGGTGAGGTAACGAGGAGCATTAAATGCCAAACAGAAGATTTTCTGTGTTATCCTGGAGACAATAGAGAGGCACTGTAGCTCATTGAGCAGAGGTGACATAGTCAGATGTATGCTTTGGAAAAATTACCTATCACCTTGGTGGCTAATTGGAGGGTGTAGTGGAGTAAAGACAAACCTGAGTCAGGAAGATCAGTTAGAAGACCAGTTAAAACATCTACTACTACAACTACAACAGCTACCTTGCAATTCCTTGATGAAAAGTGATGAGGGCCTGAACCAGGGTTGTGGCTATATGAATGGAAGGAAAGACACATTTATCAGAGATATTGTGAAGATAGAAGTAAGATTTGGCAACAGATTGAATATGAGAATGAGAAGCCAAGAATGACATCAGTGACACCAATAAACCTGGGTGACTGGGAAGATGGTAGTGCCCCTCAATTGAAGTATATATAGTACAGAAGAGGGTAGGATTTTTTTCAGGCGTTGTGGGGCGGGGCAGACAGAAGATAATAAAGTGAGATCTATTTTGGTATATTGAGTATGAGATGCCTTTGGCATCCAGTTTGAGATGTCTACAAGATAGTAGGAGATGTGTGACTAAAACTTAGGAGAAAAAATGAAAGCTGAATAGATACAAAGTGAACTCTTTAAAAGCAGGGACTGTTATAGTTTTTGTTTGTATCACCAGCACCAGGGATAGTGATTTGTACATAGCAAGCACTTAACAATGCTTTAATCATTCATTCATTCGCTCATATACATAAGGAAATCATCTGCATAACAAGGAAGAACATGGGGGTTGATAAGATCACCAAATGAGATAGTTTAAAACAAAAAGAGATGAGGGCCTTTATGAGACATTTTCCCCTTTCTTTCTAGTCCTGTCACTACTATCCTTATACATTGTAGCCCGGCAGATTACTAGCTCTCCTCTGGAATATTATGTCTCCTGTGCTAGAGGTAGATGTTTGAATGATGATTAGAGCAATAGACTTGAAGTGAGGAAGATTTCTGTTCAAATTCTGCTTTTGATACTTACTAGCTGTGTGACCCTAGACAAATCACTTAACCTCTCTGTGCCTCAGTTTCCTTATCTGTAAAATGAGAGAGTTGGACTTTGTCTCTAAAGTCCCTTTCAGCTTCTAAATCTATGATCATATAAATTGCCCCTCTTGTGCTTAGGTTCCTCCCAATTCCACTTCCTCCTTCACATGGATTCCAGAGTCATTTTCCTAATGCATAGCTCTAATTATGCCATTCACCTGTTCAAAAGACTTTAATATCATTACAAAGGTGCTCAATACATGTTTGTGGAAATGAATCTAATGGAGTCAATAAGGTGGAAAATATAATAAAAGGAAATTTTCATTATGTTGCTCTAATGCCTTCTCTCTCTCTCGAAACAGCCCTTTTCAGCTAATTATATAATAAAACCATTACTCATATAAGGACTTAGTGAACATTTGTTGATTTAATATGGATTGCTAACCACAGTAGAAAAATCAATAGGAGTCTTCTAAAATATTGACAGTAATGATTATTTTTAATGCATTGGTAGTTTAGTAAAATATCAAGCTAACAGCATAGCAAGAACTATATTTGGTGATATATTTCTTTCCAAAAGTAATTCACTTGGCTAATATAAAAACATCCCATCAATGATATAATTGGTGCTTTTGATTTTAACCTTAGAACTCATCAGTTCCTTTCTTCACTGTCTCTGGGGGAAAGGCCATCAGATCCAGAGCAGCAGCCTGCCCCTCTGCAATCCATCCTGGGCTCTGGGAAAGAATATTGTGGGAAGTATGGAATGGATTCTTTTCCCATGTCACTCAGTCAATGTTCCCCAGGTCACAGAGGAATTCTCTTGTCTGATTTTAACATTGGATAGGAAGCCAGTGGAATTTTTTGAAAAGGGGAATGACATGGATAAATTTGTTCAAGAGAATCACAAGATTCCTAATTTTTTTCAAAGATATAATTTTGGTGACTGGAACCAAATGACGGCAAAAATTTTAATGACAAACATGTTGAAGTCCTGAAAATGAGGATAAAATATTTAACTATAACTTTATTTTTATGTGATCCGTGAACACTAATTTTTGAAATTCATTTGGTGTAGAAGTGTACCCTGAAGGATCTAGAGCAAATAGAAATTAAATTTTTTAACTGTCTATATGATAGGTGCTGATGTGGCGAAGTCCACTAACAAATGATCATCACACTCACATGTCTGACACTTAAACACATGGGAAACCACAGTGTAAGAATTGGGGATAGAGTATGGATGGAGGGTTTTTATCCCAGTGGCTTTTGTCCTGTTGAAGTATGCTGATTCCTTTTTGTTATCTTGTCTGACCAGATCAGGATTTGTGCTTTGTTGGATTTATAATATCACCTGTCTCAGCTAAACATGTAAATATATTTATTAAGTGACTTCCATATTCAAGTCACCATCCTACATGCTGGGATGGACATTTCACTCTCATTACTAATATCAGTAAGCCTTTGTACAATTCTCTGAGGTTTGCAAGGCACTTTTTATAGATGATCTCATTTGATCCTCCCCAAAATCCCTGAAGTGAGCATGGCTGATATTACTATCCCCATATTGAAGATGAAGAAATCAAGACTTAAAAAGTTTAAATAGCATAGTTCCACAGTTAGTAAGCGTCAGAAATAAAGTTTGAACACAAGTTTTCTTATTCCAAGTCCAGCGTTCTATCCAGTCTCTAACACTGCCTCTGTCATGAGCTTCTCTAGAAAAATAAAGTTGTTTAGCAGCTCATGACATCTGAACTCTCTAAGGGAGTCAAATGCCTAAATAAGATTGATAAATACCATGTAGAAGTCATGATACTGTTTCCTGCTTTTCTCCATTTGTATGCATTGTAGCAATTCAGTTGACAATTCTTATGGATCCTACCTTCACAAAATCTTTCATATTTGCCACCTCCTCAAAACCTTTGAAGAGCATATGTTTAAGGAAGAGTCTGTGTCAATATTTTAATGATTACTACCATTATTCCTAAAGATTTTTCTACCCTTCATGACTCCCATTAAAACATTTTGTTTAAAAATAAGGATCAGGGTCACATTATAATATCTGACCTTTATCCTCCTGCTAAGGGTTTATTTTGGACACTGAACTTTCTCCACTAAACTCTCCCCATCTGCAACTAAACTTAAGCAACCAGTTTTGATATTAGCTATGTTTTCCCACTGTGTGATCATAGTCATTCGTCTTCTAGGAGTGTTCTAGGTTCTTAGGTGATTGGGACAGTGAAACCCCCAACTATATACAAAGACTATGTACAAAATCATAAAGGTCTTTAGAAATCATCTTGCCTAAACCCTAGTTTGATCTGTGAATTCCCTCTATAAAATCCCCAAAAAGCAGTAATCAGTTCTCTGCTTGGAACCTCTAGTAATGGAGAACTAGATCTAGAAAAAATAACAATTTATCTGGAGGAACAAAAGGTTAAGATTATCAAGGGAATCAATGAAAAAAAATTGTGAAGGAAGCAAGCTTAGCAGTACCAAATCTCAAACTGCATAAAAAAGTGGTAACCATCAAAACAATTTGGCAGCAAATTAAAAAATAGAGTGGTTGATCAATAGAGTAGATTAGTTACACAATGTAAGCAGGAATAAGAATCAAATGAGCACAGTAACCTAGTGTTTAATAAAAGCAAAAATACAAGATGTTGAGGCAAGGATTCACTATTTGACAAAAACTACATGGAAATCTGGAAAGGTGTCTGGTAGAAACTAGGTATAGACCAACATTTCACTTAGTATACCAAGATAAGCTCAAAATGAATACATGATTTAGACATAAAGGGTGATATAAGTGAATTAGGGGAGCATGTAGAAAATTACCCTTCAGATCTACGGATAGGGGAAGAATTCATCACCAAATGATAGAGAGGTTCAGAGGGAGTAAAATGAATAATTTTGATTACATAAAATTAGAAAAATTTTTGCATAAGCAGGACCAATGCAGCTAAAATTACAAGAAAAACCAAAAACTGGGGGGAAATTACACAAAGTTTCTCTGATAAAGGTCTCATTGTTCAAGTATATAGGGAACTGAGATGAATTTATAAAAATAGCAGCCATTCCTCAAATGATAAATTATCAGTTTTCAGAAGAAGAAATGGAAACTATCAATATTCATATAAAATGTTCTAAATCACTAATATTAGAGAAATACAAATTAAAACAACTCTGAGGTACCACCTCACAGCCATCAGATTGGCTAAGATGACAGAAAAGGAAAATGACAAATACTGGAGGGAATATGAGAAAATAGGTACACTGATGTACTATTGGTTGGAGTTATGGACAAGTCTAACCGTTCTAGAGAACAATTTGTGACCCTCCCCAAAGGGCTATAAAATTGTGCATACCCTTTGACTTAATAATATTGTTAATCAAAGAAAAACAACCCAAATGAACAAAAATATTTATAATAACACTTTTTATGGTGGCAAAGAATTGGAAACTGAGGGAATGCTCATCAATTGGGAAATGGCTAAAGTTATGGTATATGAATGTGATGGAATACTACTGTGCTATAAGAAAGAATGAAGGGTATAGTTTCAGAAAAACCTGAGAAGACATATGAACTGAAGCAAAGTGAAGTAAGCAGAACCAGGAGAACACTTTACATAGTTAGAGCAATATTATAATGATAATCAACTGTGAAAGACTTAGTAACTCTGTTCAATACAATGATCTACTACAATAGCAAAGGACTCCTAATGACACACGCCATCCACCTCTAGATAGAGAACTGATGAATTTGGAGTGCAGATTGACGCATATTTTTTCTCTTTATTTTTCTTGCTTCTCCCCCCATGAGAATATATCTATTGAAGAAATATGTTTTGCATATCTTAATATGTATAATGGGTATCATATGTCTTGCCTTCTCAATGAATGGGGGAAGGAGAGAAGGAAGAAAAGAACATGGAACTGAAAATTAAAATATTTTTCTTTAAAAAAAAAACCAAGTGGCATAAAGCAAAACTGAAAACTCTAAATTTATGAGCTCAGTATCTGGTACTTAAGTATGACCCCCTCCCCCATAGGAGGCCTTTCTTACAACCATCATTCCTACTCCCAACCCCATTGGTGCCTCTCATCAAATAATCTGTATTTATTCAGCATATGCTTATATGTATGCATGTTGTCTCCAATGGAGTGTAAGCTACTGGAGGACAGGGACTGTTTCATTCTTTTCATTGGGTTCTTAGCATCTAACACAGTGTGTGTAACATGTTAGGCACATATTGATTAAGTGCTTGAATCATATAGAAAGTTGACTAAAACACTTATTTTTTTTTGTCATATTCCCACAAAAGGCTGATGAGATGCAAGATGTCATGCATTTTAACTATACTGCCTGGCCTGACCATGGTGTGCCCACTACAAATGCTGCAGAAAGCATCATGCAGTTTGTACAGATGGTCCGACAGCATTCCACAAAGAGCAGAGGCCCCATGATCATACACTGCAGGTAACTGATTCATTTCTAGTTTCCTTTGAACAATTGGGGGTTTTCTTTTTCTCAAGACATGCCCGATTGCCCTTATTAAAATGCTTGTTGCTGATTAATGGGAACTCAAAAGAGATTGGTCTAGTAATACACTCAGGAAGAAGTGGGTAAACAATACATATTTCCCATATGACATGCAGTTGGATGGGAGCTCTGCAGATGTACAGCAAGCAAGGTCCACAGTTTCATAGAACTAAGAGAGAGGCTAGATCACACTTGCAAAATTGAATAGTACTTATAATAATTCTGAAGAATCCTGAGGATTGAAAATAATCCTGGGGGAGGGAATCAGGCTGGATTATGTTTGAGAAACTGCACAGCGCTTTAAATGATTCCAAACTGCTCTCTGCCACCAAAACCTATCTTTTTTTTTTTAACACTAATGTCATATATTTGTAAAGTTCTTAGCACAGGTCCTGGCACATAGTAGGCAAAATGTAAATGTTTATTCTCCTTCCCTTAATACACTCATAGTAAGGACTCCAAATTGTGAAACCCCATAATCTCAGAAGAATAAAAATTATAGGCAACCCAAAGAACAGTGGAAAATCCATGGTTTGTATAAATAGGCTAGAGTATACTACCACCAATTTCTTGTGAGCAAGAAGTGACATTAAAGATATCATCAAGGATATGAATGCCTAGAAAATGAGATAGGTTAGTCAGGTATCAAGAGTACTGCCAAGCAATGTATTATACTGCATGTATATATAGGATACATTACAAGATCCAGAAGAGGCCACCAGTATGTTAGGTACATGCTAAATAGAGAATTTATGGGACAACTTGGAAAGAGTTCTACAGGATGATAAAGTATAGATGGTCTCTGACTGTATCAGTAGAAGGAATAGATGACAGATTGTTGATGAGTTCATGGAGTCATTGAAATGTCATGAATCTGAATGAATGGCCCTTGAGAGTTACCGGATATGGATGTCTCTCTGAAGTGAAGTATACCAGAAGTATCACAAACTGCTGAATTTTCCATTTGGAAATGATTCCATTTCCATCGCTTATAAATTAAACATTTTTCTGCATCATTTGCTGCTATAAACAGATGTCAAAATGGCACCTCCCCAAGACATATCAATGTGTTGAAGCAGAGAAAACAAAGCTGCTCAAATATGGGGCCAAATTCATCAATGCCTTTGGTGATATGAAAAGGTGATATGACAGGTTTTTCTTTCCTAGAAAGACATCATTTAACCTGATGAAAATGGTTTAGGGGAAGAAAAGGCAGAGACAGAATAGGAAAAGAAAATAAGTATAGCACCTAGAATTATCCCACAACTCACAAAGTATATCTCCCCAGGTTCAAGGTACTCTGTGGGTCTGTATCCACTCAAAACCATAGCTATGTGCTTACCTTTTCTCATTAGCCAGGGAACACAATTCAAAAGAAAGGCATTTTATGAAATAGCATAGTGAGAAAAGTGGCAATAAAATATTTCTCCCATCAACCTGGGGTACACTCACCCACAAGGGGAAGAGTAGACACATGTAGGGGCTACAAGTCAAATATATACCAATAAGAAACTTATGTGGCAGGGGTACATTTAAGGAAGGGCACAGATATAGGGACATGGGTAGAGAGGCACACAAGTAGGGGCCGTATGTGGCTATGGCACTCATGGGGAGAGGCAACTCAAACCTCAAACTCTGCAAGATTTTGGGTATCTTCTAGTGATGCCATCTTGCTATTCCCTCCAGGTCTGCTCCCCACTAAATTTCACATGGCCTTCAGTCTCTGCACTAGTCTTTGCTGGAAATAGTTTCTATTGGTCATTGCTTCCCTATTGGTCTTGTGTGACTGCTGGTCAACATTGTTCTATTGGTGTTGTGGCTACTACTGGTCATTGTTCGATGCATGTCTAATGATCACCTATCTGAGGGCCTCTTGTTTGTTTCCAATTGGGGTACTTAGCTAGAGTGATATCTCTTCCTGATGGGAGGAGTAGGCTTTTACCATAGCTAGTTTAGATTACAGTCCTTGAATTTTCCCTCCAATAACTCTTAGAAAACAGAATTCATAAAGCACATCGTCATCAAATTGGGGAAAATTCCTCCTTGGCTTTTTTTTCTCCTAAAGAATAATCTGTATGTTATTTTCAGAGTCTTGGCTAGAATGAGTTTTCCTTAAGGAGATTCTTTGCCACAGCCGAAGCTCTTTGGAAAACAGAACCAGAGCCTTGTCTAGCTAACTAGTGCCCTTTGACTTAATTTTGTTTTTAAAACTATATTTCCTGGTTGCTGAGGCCTGAACTTATGTCAGAAACCTCTCTACTTTAGGGCCAGAAAATCTGGAAAATTGTAATGTTTTGAGAGACTCTGGGAAGACAAAGACTGTTGATGGAGATGGAAATTGTTCTGTTTTGGAAAGTAATTTGGAATTATGCCAAGTCACTATTTTACATATCCAGCAATACCAATACTAAGTCTATAACCCCAAAGAACTCAAAAATAAGAGACAGGACCCATGTATACAAATATTTATAGCCATACTTTTTGTTGTAGCAAAGAACTGGAAACAAAGTGGGTAATCATTTATTGGGAAATGACTAAACAAATTATGATATGTGAATGTAAAGAGTTGCTATTGAGGCCTAAGAAATAATGAAAAGAATAGATTTATCAGTAGATCCTTCTACTGATACAGTTAGAGACCATCTATTCCTGGGGAATCTTGTATGAATTGATGAGAACAATTATACGCTTTGTAAAGGAAAACATCTTTGAAACTTTTAACTCTTATCTGTGAAAAGATTAATCAACCACTACTCCAGAAAACCAATTGATAAGCATGCTTCTCATTCGTTGGCAGAGAAGTGATGGACTGTTCATACAGAATGAGACATATATTTTCAGACACAACCAATATGCGATTTTGTTTTCCTTAACTATATATTTTTTTTGTTACAAAGGAATTCTTTTTTGAAGGGGAGTTGTAGGGATGGTGTGAGAGTGATACAAAAAAAGTGAAGAAAAATGTTAAAGAAACATTTTAAAATACACAAAAGGAAATAAAAGACAGTTCAGATTGGGACAAAGGAAAGAAAGCTAGTAATGCCTTGTTAAGTTTATAATATGTATCCTTTATAAAACTATGTAATAGAGATTCATAGTCTCATATACAACGCCCCTTTTCTGTTCTTTGTATATGGAAACATTCATGTTTATAGATTTTTGTAAAGTTCATGATATGATCATAGATTTAGAAATAGAAGGGTATTCAGAGGTTATCTAGTCCATCTCTGTCGTTTTACTGATGAAAAAATCAAAAACTTGTCTCAGATCACACAGATAATTAGCAGAGGCAGACTTTGAACTCGGGTCTGACGACTCCAAATTCTTCATTCTTTCCACTGTACCAGTAAATTCATTTTGAAGGTACTCTGCCACAAAAATTTAATCGAGCTCTGTGAGTCCAACCTGTTGTAGCATTTTGGGAGAATCAAGATACTTTGAGTCTGCTCTGTAGATGAATTTAAGCAAACACAAGCGTTAATAAAGCGTAGTAGGGAAGGTCATTGTGTATTTCCTGCCTAGTCATACACTTGGTCTTTCATGTGGTTATATGTCAGCAAAGCCTTTTAACTTTTAAGACCACTGTACACAAATAATTTGAGTCCAGATTTCTCAATCTAGGATTTTTTCTTCTTTGAAATCTAATATCCTTCAGCTCAGCCCATAATGCTCACAGATCAAACAGCAGAACTAGCCTGGATTCTTCAGTAAAAATGTGAGACAATTGTCTGGTAGCAGAGAAGAGAGAGCTAACTCACACAGTTAACACCAGATATTATCCTGGGAAATTCTCTAGTCCATGTCTCCTCGACTCCTCTTCCATCCCTACCCCAGTCTCGTGATTCTAAGAGTCCTGGGGTTTGAGTTTTGAATCTGGGTGATACTTGATCCAGATATCCAATTCCAAGAAGTCCTCTTGAAGAAAACACTATTCTAGGGCCGAGTGAAGACTCCTACTGCCAATAGAATTCTTTTATCTGCTATCAAGTGGAAGCTGATCTTTTGGGCTATTGAGGGGTGGGGAACCTGTGGCCTTGAGGTCACATGTGGCCCCTTGGATGTGGCCTTTTGACTGAGTCCAAGTTTTAAAGAACAAATCCTTTTATTAAGGGGATTTGTTCTGTAAAGTATGGATTCAGCCAAAGGGCCTTGAGGACCTAGAGGGCCACATGTGTCCTTGAGACTGCAGGTTCCCCACCCCTGCTGCTATACTACTACTCCAACCCGTCACACAGACTTCATACTGAGAACATTCCAGGACTATAGTTTTAGGCTATTTCAGAATCAGATTTGTGGCACACTAGCCATATACCCCAAAGGGGTCAAAGACAGAGGGAAAGACATAGGTACAAAAAATATCAATAACAACCAACTGGGGAAGCCTGAACCTTCCAGTGGGAACTTGATTCTGAGGCAGTGTGTAAGAAGAAGGGAATTTGGCAGTAGATATAAGCTCAAGGTCCCTCAAAGACATAGAACATGTCTTCAACTTGTCTGGTATTTTCCAATGGACTTTAGTAGTGTTGGGCAAAAATTATTGATTTGTTTAGAGAACAAAGAGCCACTGTGAGTGTGTGATCATCATCTCTTTAGTATGTTCATGCAAAAGCAATAGCAACAGCAAAAAAACAATCTTCTGTAGGAAAAAACACTAGAAACAGTAAGTGCATCTCTGGAGAATATAGCTTTTTCTTAGTATTGAAGTAGGTGGAAAATATTATGGGGGAACATGATTAATATCTTCCCCAGTGGTGCTACCTAAGTATTGTTTTTTAGGAAAATAGCATAATTTTCAACAACAAATCAAACTGTCTGAATAACATTGCAGTGCCGGTGTGGGACGGACAGGAACATTCATAGCCCTGGATCGACTACTACAGCACGTTTGTGATCATGAATATGTTGATATATTGGGTCTGGTGTCCGACATGAGGTCATTCAGAATGTCCATGGTGCAGACAGAGGTAAGAGCTTGATTAATATACATCTTTAAGTTTTGCTCTTAGAAGGGCATACATCATTTACATGAACACAACAACAAATATCCTGGTTTCATCTATAACTGTGTTTTTTGTATATTTTGATGTCATCCTACCATAAAAGGAACAATTAATAACTAACATGTATATAGTACCTTAAAAACAGCAAAAAAAGCTTTCATTTTATATTTTTATTTCTATTTTATATTACCTTATTTCTACCTCATAAAAGCCCTGCAGGCACTATAAGTATTATTATCATCACCGTTTTATGTTGAGCAAACAGGTTCACAGGTATTAAGTGATTTGCCCAGACCTAGTAAATGTCAAAAGTAGAATTTGAATTCCCTTCTTTCCTCCAAGTCCAGCACTCTAGTTACTATGTCACACTGCTCTGTCTCTAGAAGTAAATTTATTTTTATAATGATCATATTTTTATTGGCCTCCCACTTCTTTTGATAGAACAGTACCATGGAATCATAGAATTCAAAGTTGAAAGGCATCTCAAAGTTATCTAGCCCAACTCCCTCATTTGATAAAAGAAGAAGCTTAGATTCAGAGAAATTAAATTTTTTTGACTAAACTAAGGTATCTAAACAAGAATGTTTCCACAAGTAAACAAAAAAGTGACAAAATAAAACATGTAAAAGTGATGACCAAATTTCATTTGAATTGCTAATATTGGATTTGACTCAGTGAATTTGTCATTAGTTTTTCTCTATGCAAATGTGGGTGGATTGCCATCTAATCTACATCTGGCACATGATTTCAGGAGGCAATCTGTTGCCCCCGTTCCTTTTCTACCTCTCTTTTCATTTAAGTGGATCTCTCATTTTTCACAACATGGAAAAGTCTCAGATGAATGTGCAATGCCATTCTTCCTCATCATCTTGTACTGCACACCCCACCCCCCACCTTTGTGGCTTTGAAATACATTACTCCCTGTGCAGGATGTGATAACAGCAATCACAAACTGGTGCCAGCCAGCAGACTGAAAGTGCTTAGGAGCTGATTTGCAAAAAGTGGGAGTAGGCATGAATCAGTGCAGGCACAAACACCCCAGGCACCTTTCCCATAATCCTGGTCAATCAGTTTAAGCTCTGAACACCTTAACTTCTGGTAGACAGTGACCAGTTTTCCAAGGAGTGTGTGGGAGGAACTCTGAATTGAATGCTTTCTTGATCCTTTTAAAATTTCAAATGAACAAAAAAGGTTCTCTTCCTTATGCTTTTCATGACTAGACCACTAGATGTCAGGATAATTTAGAAAAATAGCCATTGCTGTTTTTTCTATGAGATTCTCCAACCCTTCTCTTCCTCTTCATTCTCTCTGTCTCTGTGTCTGTCTTTATGTCTTTGTCTTTCTGCCCATCAGCCTTTCTTTCTTTCTCTTCCTGTCTCCTTCACTCCCAGCACAAACACTCATACATACTGGACATAACAATCTGTTTAATGTGTGAGAAATAATAGAATCATATGTGAATGTGGTCTAATTCCAGATGTTAGGTAGATATCATTTCTCTCCTTTGAAATTGTTATTCGATTCATAATTTCTTGCCTGTCTCTCCTTAAGTAGATTCATATCTAAGCCTTTTGTTATAATTTACAGATATCAGAAAAAGCACTTGAAATCAAAGATCAGAACCTTAGACTTAGAAAGGACATTAAAGAAAATTCAGTCCAATTTCTTCATTTTACAAATGAGGAAACTGAGACCAAAGAAGTTTGTATTTGCCCAATGTCACACAGATACTTGGTGGCAGAGGCAGGACTCTAGACCCAGATTTCCTAACTCCAACTTCCATGCTCTTTTCATTGGACTGCAGAAAGCTCACTTGGCCCTCACCACCACCAAAAAAAATCATGATTAAGAAGGTGACCTTGGACAAAGGATATTCGTCTTAGCCAACAATTCCACATGTTCATCCTTGACTTACTTCAAAACTCTTGAGTGCATGCCATCTATTTTCCAGATTCTTAATCATTCATTTCTTTGTCCAGTTTATGCCTAGAACCTGGTGTTCACTTAGCACTATTCTACCATGCCTTGCCCTTTCTGTTTCGAAAGGAATCAAGAACCAAATGAAAAATTGAATCTTTGTTACTGTCATTATTCCAGAGTACATTTTTTGTTCTATGGTTGCTAAGTAGCTAATTCCCTAGCAGATGTCCTGTCCTTGGTGTATTTAAAGAACATTCGCATATACTTTTAGTGGCCTTAGAAGGCTCACCTTGAATTGCCCTGTACCTGACTGAGAAGTAAGGAACTTGTTACATGTTGTTTAACAGCTGCTGTATTGTAAGATCAATGGACTTGGAGCAGAGCCTTGACTAGTAATTCTGGTGCCTAGGACAAGAAAATGGAGGGACAATCCTGGGGGTGGTAGAGGGTGGGAGAGGAGACCTCCTGAAAGAGGCTTAGGACTAAGGGAACCAAAACCTTGTGGGATACCTTGAGGAAGGGAATAACAAGATAGGTGCTGGAACTACTCACCTGAGGTGCAACTGTGACAGTGGGTAAAAGGGAAGGGAAAAAGGGCTCACCATTTGGTAGCTTCCCATTTTAACAATTTTTTTTCCTTGATCAGTATTGAAGTTAGTTTAGTTTTTTTTCCCTCTCCATTGAAGGAATAAATATTTCATCAGCACCATATGAATTTCAGTGTACTACTTTGCAGTTTTGAGTAAGTCAGAGCAGGGCTATTGTGAAGATCAAATGAGATAATATAAAGAGAATTGTAACTCTAAATTGCTGTCATAAATGTACATTCAAGATTAAATCCCTTTTGGTATTATCAAGAGTAGTCATACTTTATGGAAGACCATAGAGTTTAGAGCTAGAAGAAACCTCAGAAATCATGGGTTAGCTACCTGTGTGACCTTAGCCAAATGGCACCCACCCTAATTCCAGTTTATTTATATGTAATATAAGGGAGTAGGACTAGATGATCTCTTAGGTCCTTTTCAGCACTAAGCCTATGATCAAAGCCAATCCTCTCATTTTATAAATGGAGAAACTAAGACATCATTAAGTGACTTGACCCATGTTATACAGGTGGTAAGTGAAGTGGAGATTTGAACCTGGGTTGTCTAACAATCAAGTGCTGTTTTACAACATTGATTCATTAAAGTAATAGACCTTTAAGGTCCCTTTCAATCATGAGATTCTATGTTGAATGCTTTTTAATGAATTACTAAATGACTGAAAAATGTATTTTTCTGAGGTATTAGCTTGGTAAAATTTGAGATCTTAGACTTCCTTCTATGTGCAAAGTAGTAGACCAACTATCTGCCAAAGGTTACAAGGTCCATGACCATAGTTTGCTGGTATATTGATGATGAAATGTACTTTGATAGCATGATATAAGGATGGTATACCAGGGGTGGGGAACCTGCTGCCTCAAGGCCACATGTGGCCTTCTAGGTCTTTGGGTGTGGCCTTTTGACTGAGTCTTACAGAACGAATCCTTGTATTAAGGATTTAGACAAAGGGAATACCTGGTTCTGAAGATTTCATGCTTCTCTTCTGCTCCAGGAACAGTACATTTTTATCCATCAGTGTGTACAGTTGATGTGGATGAAGAAAAAGAGACAGTTCTGCATCAGTGATGTGATATATGAGAATGTTAGCAAGTCCTAGTTAAGGATATTGAGCAGTAAGTATTGAAGAGTATATTATAGATGCTTTGTTATAGAACAAACATGTGAATACCTACTTAATATTTCTGGTTAATGGGGGGATCATAATTCTGCTTTCCAGACAGTCATCATACTACCTTCACCTGTGACCATGGGTAGAAATGTCTTGACCGGGGTAATGGGGCACTACAGAGGATGGGGGGGATTGTATAGACAAGGAAGAGAAAGGTAGTAAGAATAAGTTTGGGGATAATAATAATAATAATAATAATATAGCATTTATATATTGTTGTTCAGTCATGTCTGACTCTTCATGACCCCATGGATCATATTGTCCATGAGTTTTTTTTTTTGCAAAGTTACTGGAGTAGTTCGCCATTTCCTTCTCCAGTCAATTAAGGCAAACAGGGCTCAGTAATTTCGCCAGGATCACACATCTAATAAGTATCTGAGGCCAGTATTGATCTCAGGGGTTCCTGTCTCCAGTGCAGCACTCTGCACTGCACCATCTAGCTGCCTAGTATTTATACAGCACTTTATATATGCTATTTATATAGAACTTTGCAAAGTGCTTTACATGTTACCTTATTTGATCCTTACAATAACCCTGTGAGGTGCTATTATTATTATCATTGTACAAATAAGGAAATTGAGCCTGAAAAAGGTTTAGTGACTTGCCCAGTGTCATACAGCTAGTAAGTGTCTGAGTTAGAATTATCTTCCTCACTTCAAGTCCAACACTCTATATACTGTACCACTTAGCCACAGTGATGAGAAAATGATGAAAAGAAATATGGTAGTACTCTTGGGTGGTACAGGGCATGGGAACAAAAGGAGCAAATACACATACTGGCTATGACCTCATGCGTGTATTATTTCTATTTCTTCCCAGACCACCAAGAATAACTGGACTTACAAGGTCTAAGTAGTGGAGTGATAAGGGGAGATAGGTAGCACATTGCATACAAGGTCTTACTGAGCATCCCTGTAGTTGTCTCAGGATAATATTGCTGAGTGATCTTTGAGTTGTGCTCTCAACCATACAAGCATATTGATCCTTCAAGCTTGTGACATGTATCTGTTACTGTAATCTTAAGCTTCTACTTCTAATGCCCAGCCTCAGCTAGACATGGCTTTGTTGTGCATTAGAAGGGGCCATGTTGCTTTCACCAGTGAGTAAAGTAAAGGTTTCTTATCAGGTGGTGACTTAGGTAGGGACCTGATCAGTGGAAGAATGAAGCAGTCTCCGTAAGAAATGAGGAAATAAATTATTTCAAAGAGATAGGAAAGGTTGTATGAACTGATGCAGAGTGAATGAGCAGAGCCAAAAGAACAATTTCTATTATAACATACAACATAACTATGGAGGGGATGGCATTAGTAGCCGGAGAAGTGGGAAAGGTCTTCTCCCA